AAAAATAATTAATTCTATTTAAAGAAAACAATTACATCAAATAATTAAAACCCAATTAAATAAACAATTAAATAAAACAACCAAACAAAACAAGTCATTTAAAAAATTCACAATTAAATCAACAAATTCACAACTAAATAAAATAAAACACAATTTAAATAATTAAATAAATTCCAGACTTATCCTTGTTAAATTAGGGGTATTACACCTACTCAGGTCAAAACTCACACAACCATCTATGCCGCAACAAGTACTTTACCATACTAGCAACCATCCCATACTCAACCATATGCACACCCATGAACACATATATATAATAACCATACCCCATAATTGTCATCTCAACGTAATTAACATGCTTTTAGATCACGTATACACTTCATTTACATATACTGGCATTTAAAAAAGTAAGCACTTAGCAAATAGGCATGCCTTTCAAAACGTGAAACATTTAAACAGGCAACAAGTAAACATGCTTCATAAAATAATAAGCACATAAACATAAACACGTAATCAACACAGGTCAACCTTCTACCCCTCCAAGCAAGCCACTACCTGTAGTCCGAAAGGTATTCGAACCTAACACTATGATACTAAATTTGTAACGACCCGAACTCGTGGGTCCGAACTGCTAACCGGGTCCTTACCCGAACCCGAGGTCAACTAAGGGTTATACCGTCTTTTCCTAGGCTCATAGGTAACACACAGATCATTTTAAGGTTCAAGGTATTCCTAAAACTCAGCTCAAAAGGAGAAGTCAAAGACACAGGTCAAAGGGCAAAGTCAGCCGGCTGATGGCCCTTTGTCGGTCAGCTGAAAGTACAGGTTTGGCCGGCTGACTAAGATGGTCAGTCGGCCAAAACGATTATCAGAAATAGCATGCTCTAGGGACTTTTCAGAATGAACTGTCGACCGACTAGAGATAGGGTGTCAGCCAACTGATGCTGGGGTTTCGGTCGGCCGAAACAAAGCTTTCAAAAGCTGTACTCACTGGAATGGCCTCGAAATGGTCTGTCAGTCAGCCGACAAGCCCTAGAATGCTGTTATGTGCAGCCTGAAACTCCAGAAAACTGGGCTATTTGTGAGCCAACTTGCAGAAAACCTAATACACGACCAAATTTCCGAATTCACGGCAAATACAACACAATAACCCATAGTTATTAACAACGATAGTTTAACACAAATTATAACATCATTTCCCATTCATTACAACACACCAACATGGTTCCAAGTGCACAAGAAATACTGTCATGTGGTTATATTTACATTACAAAATGAATATACTTTTTTAAAGCTTTACAAAGAATGGATCTAAATATACAAAAGGTGACAAATGAATTTCTAGTCTTCTTTAAGTCGTGACGGGTCGGCCTCCACCACTTCCTTCCCGTGCCCTGAAAAATGTTAATGATAAAAAGGTAAGCACAACGGCTTAGTAGGAGGTGCCTAAAACACACCTCTTGTAACCCCGTGAATCCAAATAAGGAATATGAATAAAGAAATTGGGATCATACCACTTCCAGGAAAACAAACCACAATTGCAACATTAATAATCCAAGTCATGAATGAAATATACCGTGCTATGGGATGCAGTGTCATGCAATGTCGCTCCCCATTTTCAAAACATTTTTCGTCATCCTTTTTCCAAACCATCAATGCATCTCGTCCCATAGCAGTTCCATGGCAGCACAAGAAAAGGATTGGCTAACTGTCCCTGACCACAAGGCAACTCCAGGGCGTCATTTGGGGCCCAGTTAATTCAACCATGCTAGGTGTCATAGGGGTAAATTCTGAACACGAATCTAATGCCCTGTGATGGCACTAAGCCAGAAATATGAACAACTTTTCTAAATTTCTAACTTAGCTCAGCCAACTCACACTTACTGCCTAGAACACACAGCAAGTAAAACACTCTCACACACAAATATAGTTGCAAGAATGTAAAGACAATAACACCCACAAATTTACAAAAGCACAAGGCTTCCAACCTTTTACTATTATTCATAAAATAGTACAAGGAAATGCCTCAACCTGTAGAAGCATACAAGAGTCTCTCACAACACAACTCCGTGTCTCATTCTCAATCTCCCTCTCTACAGAACCCATATTAGCAATATATAGGCAAACTCTCAAAACCGCCCACAACTGCCCATTAAAGTGGTGGATGACACCCCCATCCACCCACAACTACCCACTAAAGTGGTGGATGACACCCCCATCCACCTAAGGTCATGTTGGCACCCACTAAGTGTGCCAACACTACATATATAGTTGACAAGCCCAACTACTAGCTTGTTAGCACGCTCTGCTCATGCCACTTGTTCACAGGAAGTTACACATTATCTGCCACCTTTTATATATTAGCATAGTGGAAGAAAACCGACTCTAACCACCTGTGTGTTGTCCCCTCAGATTTGTGCCACATGCATGGGAAGTTACTCAGCACACTCCCACTCCCCATAATATATGCACACGAGTGGGAAGTGTTAGTAACTTCCCCCAACCAACTGAACCCATTTAGTGGGAAGTGTAACTTCCCAACCAACTGAGCCCACTTAGTGGGAAGTGTTAGTAACTTTCCCCCAACCAACTAAGCCCACTTGGTGGAAAGTGTAACTTCCCCCAACCAACTAAGCCCACTTAGTGGGAAGTGTAACTTCCCCCAACCACCTGAGCCCACTTATCCATCTTTTGTAACCATAAGCCATGTCTGAGTCCCCTGAGCCAACCTTGCACTCTGAGCCTTGCCTACGCCCGCCCATGTCCCTGACTTGACTATGCCACACGTCCATGACTTGTGTGGTCCATGCTTTAAGCAACATCTGAGCTAACCTTGTGAACTTAGCCCGTACCAAGCCCACTAATCTGCACCCACATATAAATGTCTCAAAGTGCACGACATCCAAATCGAATGTCGTCTGCGCCAACCATCTTCTATGGACTCAAGGTACCTCCCATAAAGATCCCAAGCCAAAACTCCAAGCTTCACTTTTTCGCCATATTTACGAAAATGCCACTGGGCACCCCCAGTGCACACTAACATCATCCCATGGCTGTCAGGGGGCTTGTCAAGATCCCAACCCCGTAACACTAGGGTAGTCTTCCTAATTCCCTCTAAGTCACATTAACGCCACAAACTCATAGACAACTCCTAGGCGACCGGGTTTTCGTAAACATTTTATCAAATATTTTCCCCAAAAACCTTTTTTTTTTTTTTTTTCAAATATCATTCCCCATTTCTTTCCCAATGAGTGCATGAGTGTTTTCATACATTTCAATGCCATGCCAATAGAGAAATTTATTCCTTGCAAATCAAATATTTACATCATATATGCCTTATAGAAAATTCATAGAAATATACATCATGCTTCTAAATCACAAAATTCAGCACTTAAAATACAATTGGCATGAAATTATCATCACTTAAACATGGTTCTTTATTACATACCAACTAACATATAATCACATCTCATATACAACATATAATAAATATTTCATGAAATATACACAAATTAAACATATTATAGCACAAATTATGAGAGAATAATTCACTTAAATTCAAGAGATTGTAGATTAAATACCTCTACCTCAAAATGGATAAAAACCCCCCAAAAATCCCTAGATTTTGAAAATCCAATGGTTGGCCAAACAAGGAATTGCTTACATCAATGTATAGCTCAACAAACTCTCAATATGCTGCAAACGGCATCAAAAATCTCTAAAAGGCTAAGCTTAAATCAAGCTTTGAAAGCTTAAGAAAGAGAAAAGAAAAAAGAAAATAAAGAGAAGAGGAGAGAACTGCCGAGGAAAGAGAGAGAGATAGAGAGAGAAAAGTGAGGCCAAAAATGATGGCCTCTTGGCCACTCAAAAGTTGAAGGAAAATGAAGGCTAAGCTTAAATCAAGCTTTGAAAGCTTAAGGAAAAAAAAAGAAAAAAGAAAATAAAGAGGGAGGAGAGAACTGCCAGGGATAGAGAGAGAAAAGTGAGGCCAAAAATGATGGCCTCTTGGCCACTCAAAAGTTAAAGGAAAGTGGTGGTGGGTCCCACCACTAAAATTAAATAAAAAAACTAACTTTACATTTTTATTTTCCACCACATACATATATATGTACACTAACTATTTTTTTTTTAACCACATGAAACACATTAAATAAAAATGAATGAAGTGCAAATGAACCCAAAAAAAACTCTCGTACGCAACAATTTTGGTAACGGGTCCCACACGGGACTTTTCGGCTTGAAAAACGAAAAAATGTCGAAACGGTGACCGTTGCATTTATAAGAGTTCTAAACTCAAAGAAATGCCCCAACCAACTCTCGGACACACCCCGCACATCTTACGGTGTCCGGCACGCAAAACGAGAAAAGACGAAAATACCCTCAAAAAAATCAAAAATTCCGAAAAAATAAAAAATGGCGAAAAACAAAAACATCATAGAAATGTCCCAATCAACAGTCAGATACACCCTGCACAACCCATGGTGTCTGGCACGCAAAACGAGAAACGACGAAAATACTTTCGAAAGATCAGAAGATAGGAAATGACGAAAATCGGAAACATTACAGGTGCTAGCAACCCGAACCTAATTCTAATATTATATATATATATATATATATATATATATTTTAACTTTAAATACATTGTATATATTTTTCAAATTAGATCACCTTTTTCTTTTCAACTTCTTTATTAAATATTAATTTTTTGTATATTAGCATCTAATATAATTACTTTCATAAAATATTTATTAGTAATTTATTTAAAATTTGTAATTTTTTTTGTTTAATAGTTTTTTAATCAAATTAGTCATATGAGTAATTCAAATTAACTCGACTTTAGAATTCGAAATCTAAGCCCGAGTTAAAACTCAAGTTTAAAATTAGAAATATGAGTTAGACTCGCGTTGAATGGTAAGGATTAGGGTTGGAGTTAGGTTTGAGTTAAACATTTTATATGTCGGGTTGGGCTCAAACTAAACTTCTTATCCACCAAGTTGCAGACCTAGTATTGGGCAGAGGATACACTATTCCTAGGGAAACCTCTTAACACTTACCCTACTTGCAACTAGAGCGCGTGGAAAACCTCCCACACTGGCCACGCTGAAAGCCAAGCCGCCGTTCGATCAGTTCGTCACCGGTGCGTGAGATACAGAATTCGATCCTTTCCGGTAGAACAGAGACGCACACAGGAGACAAAGGAGAGAGAGAGAAGTTTGGAAATTCGGATCGAATACGTTCTGTATCGGGTTGTCGAAAAATCGGAACCCTAATTTTCGTCTTCTTTTTGACAAAGATTAATTGCACAGGTCAATTTCTTGGCTCTTCTTCTCTAAGCATATATCACAATCCGTATTAGTTCGTATAAATTCAATTTATGTGAATTTTAATCTGTACGGTTTTTAATTTTGTTTTCGAACGTATCGAAATAGGGTTTTCGATTTCTTGAATCGAACAGACCTGTATGGCTTCGGGTGCATTATGTGCTAACGAATCGAGAGAGAAGCGTAGATGGGGAGAAAACAACGAAGTCTATACGCGGAAGATTCACAACAAGGGCATCAAGAGCAACAGTAACACTACCATCACAACCACCAATCACAGCAATAACGAAAGCAACAACCCTCAACAGTGTTTGCAAACCCTAGCTACTGAAGAGGCTAATTCTTCACAGCCACAGCAAAGCCTGTCGCGATTAGATGCGCATTCTGATGTATTAGGTGTTAACGAATCGAGAGAGAAGCGTAGATGGGGAGAAAACAACGAAGTCTATACGCGGAAGATTCACAACAAGGGCATCAAGAGCAACAGTAACACTACCATCACAACCACCAATCACAGCAATAACGAAAGCAACAACGTTCCTGCACAGTGTTCGCAAACCCTAGCTACTGAAGAGACTAATTCTTCACAGCCACAGCAAACCCTGTCGCGATTAGATGCCCATTCTGATGTTTCTTCGAAACACAATCAAGAAACCCATTTTGGCGTTCCAAATGGCTGTGAACTGCCCAATGGAAATGGGGTGAACAAACCAGTTGTTACAAAAGTTGACAATCGGGTAAAGATTAATTTAGCAGCAGCTAGATTGAACAATGAGATTGAGGAACTTAGGAGGAAGCTAGGGAGTGAGCTTGATGAGGTGAGGAGTCTAGTGAAAGTGCTTGAAGCTAGGGAGGTTCAGCTTAATGGGTATTCTACTGCTACAGGTGGTTCTAGTCATTTACTGCACTCTGCGAATGATGTGATAAACAAGGCACATTTAGTGATGGTGAATTCGGATGCATGTTCAGTGGCTCCTAATGATTCGGGGCCTTTCCAGCAGCTAAGTGTTTCTGTGATGGAGAACAATCATGGAGTTGGTGAATTTGCTGAGAAAGATAAGAGAACTCCGAAAGCAAATACTTACTACCAAAATTCAGACTTTGTTCTTGGGAAGGAAAGGTTACCCACTCATGGAAGTAACAAGAAGTTGAAATCAAGTGGTGGGAGGAAGCTTAATGGTGAAATACGAGGTGGGTTTGCTATGGATATGTGTATGAGTCAAGCGTTTAAGAGCTGTAGCGATTTGCTCACGAAGTTGATGAAGAACAAGCATGCTTGGGTGTTTAATAAGCCAGTTGATGCCAAGGCACTTGGGCTCCATGACTATGATGATGTAATTGAGCACCCTATGGACTTGGGCACAGTTATGAGTAAGCTAGCCAAGAATTGGTACAAGTCTCCGAGGGAATTCGCTGAGGATGTGAGACTTACTTTCCGTAATGCCATGACGTATAATCCAAAGGGGCAGGACGTTCATGCTATGGCAGAACAGTCGTCCCTGATTTTTGAAGAGGAATGGGCAGTTATAGAGGCAAAGTATAATCTTGGTCAAAGGTTTGACATGGTTTATGGCATTGGCATGTCTTCTCCCACTTCGAGGAAGTCTCATCTCCCGTTTGCTCCTCCTCCCCAGCATGCTCTTGACAAGATGAGTTTGGATAGGTCAGAATCAATGAAAAAGCCCGTGGATGCAAAATTGAAACCCTCAAATTTTGCTCGAGTAGGCAGGACTCCAGTTCCAAAAAAACCTAAAGCAAAGGATACTAGCAAAAGGGACATGACTTATGAGGAGAAGCAAAGGCTCAGCACAAACCTTCAGAGGTTACCCTCGGAAAAGCTGGACAACATTGTCCAGATCATTAAGAAGAGCAACTCAGCACTTTGCCAACATGATGATGAGATTGAGGTGGACATTGACAGCCTTGATGCAGAAACACTTTGGGACCTTGATAGGTGTGTGACCAATTACAAAAAGAATTTGAGTAAGAAAAAGAGAAAAGCCGAACTTGCTTTTCACTAAAGAATAGAAGCTAGTGATGCTATCCCAGAAACGGTAAGACCTTGAATTGCAAATTTTCCAATATTCCCGCAGGGAAGTCCTTTTGGCTTGTGCATTAATTTATTATCATTGCAGAATCCATCCCTGGCCATTGTGGAGGAACCAAAAGAAACTAAAACGGTGACAGTTTTAAAACATGACGATTGTTGGTGTTTTAGTCTTACGTTCATGTGCTGATTTGAATGCCAACCTACTTATTTTGCATTGTTGAATTCGAATCAGTTGGTATTTTAAGCAGATGAAAAGAATATTGTTACTTCTTCTCCTGTTCGAGAAAGGCAAGGGGATAAGGCAAGTAGTTCAAGCAGTTCTAGTAGTGATTCTGGCTCTTCTTCAAGTGGTAAGCTGTAATTTCTTTTTGTTCTTTTTCATTTTTTGGCTAATTATTATGTAGTGAATACAGTCTAAGAGTCTTTGCTATTACATTGCGGCTTTCTTCTTGAATGTAGGATACATTTATTAATTCAATCTGATATTCTACATACAGAATGTGATAGTTATTGTTCATCTGCATATGTATCAGATGCAGGGCATTCACCTAGGACATGAATGAATCCTTTAAGGGTATGAAGCTCATATTGCGTTGATGGATTTATCTGTTTCTTGTCTTTTCATACAACCTGCACTGATCTTGCCTTTCAAATTTTTTAATATATTAAATTTTGTATCAAAGTTCTAATTGTTGCACCAGCATTATCCACTCTCTATTCAGTTCCTTCTAGAATTCCCAATGATTATTTTAAGGTGATATCAACATGATTGTTAGCCTCTGTGATTATTCACACGTAGTGCAAAGATTGTTAGCCTCTGTGATTGTTTCATAATGCTTCCTTGTGTTTGAAACAATATCAGTGGCATGACGAATTGTCACTTTTGTCATGTCAGAAAATGTGAATCACATCTTTCAGTCTTAAAACTGGGCACCCTACCGAAGAGATTGGTATAGACCAAGCAAATATTAGAAATTAGAAGACTAGTTTCCACTAAATTGCACTGTTTAGTCTCTTTTCACTAAATTTTGGCCTATATTTTGTACTGTATCTACTGGATTTAGTCCCAAGTGGAAACACATTTTGGTCAATCTATTACAATTTCATGCTTCTTTCCCTGTATTAACCAAATCATGCAGATTAACAATGTTTCCAAACTATCCTGTGTTGTGTTTCCTTCTGTTGAATGTATATTTAGCTCGGTCCACCTCCATCATATTAATAAAGGTGTCATAATTTGCATTAGTGTGTGTTTTTCCAGGTCGGTATCTGGTAGTGTTGTAATTATGTCTATAGAACCACGTGGATTATGTTGGACTTGATGAGGTCCTGGAGTGGCAGGTGTAGGTGGAGGAGAGTTATGAGGGTGTAGGATGTGCCTCATCCCTGATTTATGTGGTTTTGTTTGCATGAGAGAAATAGCACTTTTGAAGGAATGGAGCTTCCTTCAATCAGACTAGAACAGATACTTTCGCATATTTCTTCTTCTTCTTGTGGTGGATTGTGGAGTTACTCCAAAAAAAATTCTAGTGTTGTTGCAGAACATGAAATTTTATTTGTGATCCTTCATAGAGTTGTATACCCCAGGTGTGTTCGGAATTGTGTCCTTTTTCTGGTATGTAACTAACACTCTGGTTATGCAAGTAAGAGAATATCACATCTCGCAAATTGTGTTGTGTACTGTTTTTTGAGCTTTATAATACTGGGCAGTAAGTAAAAGGACTTTTAGGAAAACCCCAAGGGTTGGCTCATGTGGTTAAGAACTTGTCCCTGGTGCCCCAGGAAGCATCAAGTCTAAGGTTCGACTCCTCTTGGGTGCAAACATTTCCTTGACGAGGGGGTGTGTGAGTATCAACTAGCAAAAGTACTTTTAGGAAGTTATACTGTAATATTGTAGGGCCTCTATGATGGCTCTATATACATTTAAAATTTTCAAAATGTATTATAGTAAAATTTAAAAAACTGCACCATGAAGAATCTAGAAATTTATTGACAAATCGGTGCATTCTTCAACCACAAACATGAAAAATTGTATTTGAGAAACACAAAGTGACCAAGCTTTTTTTTTTTTTGGGTGACGAGGAACAGTTCCAACTAGGCATCCTTTGGACTCGTGACTACAACGTAAACTCCGAATATCAGCAATCATTCGCAAACCATGGGTATCGCATAAAACAGGACTCATTTTTGAGGCCTCAAGGTAGTAACCCTGAAACCTGCCATCCGAGTCCAAAGTGACCAACTTATGTCTAAAATTTTCAGCTTTAGGATAACTATGCTATCATCATTGATTAACTAGACGTGGTTAGTAGATCTTCATCAGGGTCATAGTTTATTCACAGTATTTTAAACTTTTCTCTTTCAATATATATACACATACACATACACATATATGTATGTATATCTGCTTATATGAATATGGTTGTGGCAATATATTGATTGACATCTATGTCATTTATTGATATTGTGGCAAACTTAATATTTTAACAAAATTTTGACCAGGCAATTTTTTTGTTGGGATTTTTTTTTTCTGTTCTCCTGAAAATATCCCTTCTTGTGTGTCACTACATTTTATGCCTCAAATTTTTAGGTTTTATTAGGGAGCAGCTACCAAAGATATTATTTTACCACTGGTGCTATATATGTAAGATGTTGGACTAAGAAGCACATACATTTCTATGATGGTGTCATATCCATGTCGTCGGACATTAAAAATAATTTTTATTATTTCGGACACTTAACCGGCATATTCCGGTCAATACATTCCAAAGACTCACCAACACATATCACACACTTCATTACGAGTCTTATTCTATAAAACAAACACGATAGACTTGGAAACAACATTATGAATGTACCCCAAAATGTCCAACTTTTTTTCTTTAAAAAAATTGACAATATACACATGTCACGGCATGTATGAACAAAAATATAATTATAATGACAAGGTAGGAGAGTAATAACATTTATAGTATAATATTATTATTTTCTAATATTCAAATAGCTTCATCTTCTTCTTATTTTTTTTATTTTTATTTTTTTTTCATAGTTGATACTCACACACACATGCCTCCATGGAGGCTTGAACCCTTGACCTCCCTTTGGAAAGTAAGGGCCTGATACCGCTAGGCCACTGACCCGTTGGTTTCATCTTCTAATTTGTGTAACTTTAGTATATAAATTATAAATTAATTACTTATCAAAAAAAAATTATAAATTAATTAAAGTTTTATAATTGTCTTCCTCAATGGTATATAACTATATATAAATGAAAATTTATATTTATATTAGTCGTGTCCACTCGTGTCCATGTCCTACTTTTTTAGATTTTGATGTGTTGACTATATCCTTGTCGTATCGTGCGTGCCCATCTACTTAAAGGGTCGAAGAGAATACAAATCATATTCTCTATTGCATGGTAGCTAGGGATCCGTGGAGTATGCTGTTGTACTATTTGATGTGAGTCGAGTTCCTCTGTCAGTGGAGGAGCTGCTGGCTAGAAGAAGGTTGATTGTATTTCCAAGAGAATACACATAACTTGGCAGATGCACTGTCTTTCTTGGGATGCATGTGAAGAAAAAATAAAGGTGCATGTTTGAGGATCTAGATTTTCTTATTTAAGAATAAAAACATGATGCTGAAATTTTGGACATTTTTCAATTTCCTTATTTTCGTAAAAAGCTCGTGTTGCCTAGTGTGAGATGCTCATGTTCGAGTTTGGGAGCAGCTACTTAGTGCAAGATCCTTTTATAGTCCTTTTTTTTTTTTTTTGATTAGTCTATTTATAATCTATTTCACCTAGTATCCTGCATTTTCATTTTTCAATGGGTAAGAGCAACCAAATGGCGTGAGAGATTTGCTTCATTGGATGCAGATTTATCAACTATGTATGTAGGGCTACTCAAATTTTGCTCTTTGATTATTCAAACTTTAATTTGATCCAAAGCAATAAAATCTTGGTTTTAATTCTCTTTTTTTTAGGAATCAGACAGATGGTATAAATGCCTCCATTTCTGCCTCTAGTACCTTTGGCCTTTCATCCCTGTTCTGCCAAGCACCAGGTCAGTATTGGGTTGTCTCCTATAAATAAAATTATTGAGAACTGCTAAAATAATGAATTGCTTAGGTATCAAATCACAGAATGCATAATTAAATAATTTAGATGGCATAACCTTGAAGCAGATGATAAGGAGATTCAAAGTTCTTATATTCCTCATAATAACTCTTATTTATTTTATTTATTTTTTGTCCTTACAAATAATTTATTGACTCACGTTGCACCTATAAGGACTTGAACTCACAACTTTCCCCTTCCAAAAGTTCAGGAGTACCACTGGGGTACAATCCTTGTGGTTCATAACAACTCGGTTATGAATCTTAGGACTTGTGAGTATGGTTACCTACAGATCTTGCTTCATGTAAACGGCCAAAACTTAGAGCTGAAATGAAATTCTCGCTGCAGGATTATTTCAATTTGTTTTGACGATGGGCGATATGACTCATAGTCCAATTTAGGAAATGCACTAAACGTGGAAAACCGTGTTTAAAACCGCACCAAGCCCATAACAGTTTTTTGTACATGCTTTGAGGACATAAATCAATGTTGTATAGATTGTTTTCCACTTATGCTGACGATCTGTTGTTTGACTCAATGTCAAGGTTATGAAGTGCACTAACATGGGAGCTCCAAGTTATGCACTGGGCATTTTTCTTTTCTATTAGTACATGCTACATGAACATGTTCTTTCTATAGGGTTCCAGTTTTGGAGATCTGAATTATAATTCTTCTTTTAACCTATTGTGATCTATTTTTTCCCAAATGGCAGCATCTGTAGTAGATGAATGTTGATTCACGTTGACACCTGCCTTGCCATTTTTGGGAGTGCTCATTCTGCTTGTGAATATGATGGGTGTAGCAGGGAGCTAAGGTGTTATTGTTTGGCTGCAGAGTGGTATCCTTCCCTTAGATGTTTTTGGATGGTTTAGATCTTAGAAGTCTTAATTCTTACCATTACTTGAAACTTGTTGTTTTGCATTTAAAGTTGTTGAAAGATTGTGTATGATAACTATAGGATATAGTGGTGATGGGAGTTCTTGTCTGGTAAGACGTAAATTTCCAGGAATTGCTTCCAATTTCAGTTATGAGAAACTTATGCTAGGTATTATATTATTTGTATCAGTGCATCATAGTCTCCATTCACATCATAGAAGGGGAGACCAGTACTATATATAACAGGTCTAGGTCATTAGAGTTTACTTTGAAGGATAATGCTGGTCCGTTATGCCCACAGTTAGTTCCAATTATAACCCTTTGCTTAAGCAAGGGAGTGCACTTGCAAGTTGAAGCTACATCAAGGGCAAATAGTTAAGGGCAAAATAGTCTCCGGGTCACCGTGCTACTCATTTCCCTCGATTCTGCTCGTGGTTCTTTTCTTTTCTGTTTTTTTTCCTCCCCTAAGTTTCCTTTTGGTTGGTTTTTTCTGTAACTTTATTATTATTAGTGGATGGATCTTTCAGCATAATGCATGCTTTTGACTCCTTGAATTAAAGCAATATACACAAGTATGTCAAAATTCCATTTCTGTAACTTGAACACAGGCTACTATTGTGCCTGGGATACACACACAAGGAGAGAACTGTTTAGAGAGCATGGGTTCCGCCTTGAGATGACAGTCGAAAGCATTCCTCGAAAAACACCCTTCTACTCAAAATCCCACTTGAGAAGGAAAAATAACTCATCTGAGTTATTATTATACGTATCAATTTCCTGACATGGTATTTGGTATGTATACTTAGCATTCGATGAGTCCTTACCATTTTCAAAATGACATGGTATTATCTTTTCACCAGTATAAAAGAAAAACAACACTAGCCCTCGTAGGAGTGGTTCCAAATAATAATAATAATTGAAAAGAAAACACAAGCACATGCAAGGAGGTCAATGGCGAGAATGCGTGCCTTTATCAAACAATATTTATTTCACAAAAAAGTACTCGGGCGAAGCCATTGGTATTGGAAAATTTGTAAATTTTGAGTAACGTCAAAGCCTATAGCGAAGCCATTGGTATTGGAAAATTTGTAAATTTTGAGTGACGTCAAGCCCATAATAGTCTTAACAAATGACTTTATTTAACTGAGCTTCTGCTTAAATTAAGCCTACTGTACTGGTAACAGGAAAACCCACGCAGCAACAAACTCTCAAGTAACAAAATAAAACTAGCATGAATTGCAAAACTGTGATGGTTTTTTCCCTTTTATAAAGGAGACTGATGTCCCACAAGCCCTACACGGCTCATTCTAACTCTGATTGGCATACTTGATTCCCTTCTCGATAGAGGCTTTAAGCTCAGGCTTGAGGCTTTCCAATCCTTGTTTTTCATAGTCCGAAAGCAGGCCCAACCCCATAATTTCCTCCACACCATTCTTCCCAAGCTTCACCTGCAGTTATGGATGCAGCAACTATTTCAGAACGTATGTTGGATGGATATATATATCCAACAAAGGCATATAAATGCACCAAGGGAAAAACTAGTTCTTATAGAATGTAAGAAACGAAAGAGGGCGATTGAAATGAGCATATAGAATGAGAATATTAGAAATAATTTTAAAAAGTCAATTATAAAAGGAAAAATTACTTGTAATTAGAAATTAAGGCAAGGATGGTGATGATTAGGAAATAAAACAAGGACAACAATGAAACAATTATATAAGACCAATTGATTATGGTTAAGGAAAAATAAAATGATACAGATCAATTATTTCAATCCACATAGATAATGAAGTGATCAACCTTGCATACAAAATTATCACAGTTATATCCTGGTTCATCACCTTAGAAGCAAAGAAAGGTAATTCAGTTATGCTTGACTGCACGAATGAGCACTCAACGACATCTGGGACCCCATTAAGACCCTTTAAGCAAGCATCTGCAAAAATGGCTCCTGCATAACTGCAGCAAAAGCATCATGTCAAAAATTGCTTACCAAATACATCAATTACAGTTACAAACTTGGTTTGTAATACAGTTATTGAGAGAGAGAGAGGGCGGTGAGGGGACGCAACATAGAACCTCAAAAAAATTACTCACATTTTTAAATAAATAAGCTTAAACATTAGGCACTTTATAACATGTTACAAAGACAATCCTGGATTCGCAGACGATATCCCTAAGCAATGCAGTAAGATAAGGCAATTTTCAATTTTAACCACAATTAATCATATAGCAAACATGTTTCTGAGAAAAGCCAACGGAACCAATAAAACCCATGTATAGTTTATGCATTGATGTCATAGCACATAAGCAAAGACAACAAACATCCATCGAGAAATATAGAAATACATGAGAAAAGATGAAAAAAAAATTAAACAAAATCTGAGAAAATACGACAGGAATATTCTACCATAGTAGGTATTCAAGAAATCATTCCAAACCAGGTCAGTAAGCAAACTTCCCAGGAAAAAACTAAGATGACCATGCTCTAAGCTGCTCACCAATATCATAATGCAAGTATGCAAATTAAACATGTCGTTCATGACAAACAAAAATACAATATTGAGAATGCTCTAAAGCTGCTCACCAATATCATAATGCAAGTATGCAAATTAAACATGTCGTTCATGACAAACAAAAATACAATATTGAGAATGCTCTAAAGCTGCTCACCCATATCATAATGCAAGTATGCAAATTAAACATGTCGTTCATGACAAACAAAAATACAATATTGAGAATGCTCTAAAGCTGCTCACCAATATCATAATGCAAGTATGCAAATTAAACATGTCGTTCATGACAAACAAAAATACAATATTGAGACAGAGGTCTAGGAGATCCCTTCTGGCCTCATTTGCTTCATAAGATCTCTGTGGTATGTTTGACCACGAGGTTTTGAGCTCAGAAGGAATGCAAGGAATACGAGAGAAACTGAGCCATCATGTATATTCAACGTGACTTGAAATTTTAAACATTATGCTAAAATGAATAATACACACAATGAAATTCATCCTTGAACATACCTTTAATCTTTCACCCTAGAGTAGCATTCATACAATTATCGTTAATTGAAAAAGTCCAGGCAACAGCTTCCAAAACAAGAGCTACTGACATAGGACTTCAAAAATAATTGGTTACATGTAAGCACATTGAAGATAAGTCTCAATCAGGCTTTTATTATGCCATTTTATTAAATGTGCCTTAGCACACTACTTTTAATGATCATTATGTGATTCAATATAAATCATCCACCTAAATCCCATGAATATTCTATACCAACATATTAGTGAGCAAGACCTAGTAAGTTGTATGGAAGAGTCCAGGCTCATGGTAATCATGAATTCATAAAACAAACCAAGTGAAAGTACCAACGGACACTTACGCCATTGAGAGTGTTGCTGAACCCTTTCCAGCTTTTGCTTCCACTACTTCTGTCCCTCCATCTTGTGTTCGCTTGGTGAGCGCCTTAATGTCTTCATCAGACAAATTATTGGCTTCTGGTGTGGCCTATTAATAATCAAACAATTAAACCAACATAAGAAAAGAAATACTGAAAGGTGTCCACCATAACAAAATGCTATAAACAGGATAAGCAAGTGATATATCTTAAACAAATTGATGTAGAGAAAAGCATGGTAATACTTGTGAGAACAGAGGAAGAATGGTTATGCCGGCATGGCCACCTACGACAGGCACATTAACCCCTGTAAACACAGGGAAAAAAAAAAAAAAAATTGAGAAAATGAATTAAACTTCACTATAGAAAAAAACCACGTTTTTCCATTCAGGAAAGAAGCTGTCCATCAACGCATACCTGCGACTGGGACATTTGCCTTCCCAGCATAGAAAGTCTTAGCCCTAACAACATCAAGTGTTGTCACACCAAAAAGCTTCTTCTCATCATACGTCCCTGCTTTCTTGAAGATCTCAGCAGCAATGGGGACTGTTGAATTCACAGGGTTGCTTATCATATTAACCAGTGCCTAAAAACATCACCCAAATCCCAAAGTGAGAAAATACAAATATATAATACAACAAAAATGCCAAAAATGAAACAAAATCAGGAATGTTTGTGCAAAAAGCTACTCACATTTGGACAATACTTGGCAATTGCAGTGCACAGAGATTTGACAATGCCGGCATTAATGTTGAAGAGATCATCACGAGTCATACCAGGCTTCCTTGGTACACCAGCTGGAATGATGACAACATCAGACCCCTCCAATGCCTGCGCTAGTTGATCTTCACCCATGTACCCAGCCACCTAAAACCAAAAAACAGATGTATAGGTAAATAAGTCAAACACAAGAGAGATTTACAAGCAACAGCATTCAGTTGGAAGAATATACATCAAAATTCTATCTATCTACAGGTAAACAAGAAATCAATTCCAAATGATGGTAGACCAAAACCCTAAAAAAAGCCGGAGAGAAAAACAAGTCCAATCAAATGATCAAGCACACGAGTAACTTAGAGGTGAATGAATGAATCAAAGAGAGAGGAGAGAGTAGTAACTTATAAAAGAATAGTAGCAACTTATAAAAGAATCAATGAATCAAAAGAATAGTAGCAGCTTATAGAAGAATCAATGAATCAAAACCCTATAAATGAGAGATCCGAACAGAATCAGAATTAACAGTACAGAATCCTCGAGAGAGAAAGAGAGTAGATAAGTGGGGTAGGGTAGGGTTTAGAAAGGACCTGAGATCTGGTGTTGATGTGGCCGACATCGGCGGCAACACCGGGGGTTCCGGCGATATCATAGAGAGCTAGATTAGAAACGAGAGGGTTGAGCTTCATGAGCAGCGCAAGTGGCTGCCCAATCCCGCCGGCGGCTCCCAAGACGGCAACCTTCCGATTGGGGGCCGATTCAGATGAGTAATCACGGCACAGTAGTCGAAATGACGAAGGAGAAGATGATGCATTCGGACCTCTTCGGAGGGAAGCTTGGACGGATCTCAACATTGTTCCTTTCATTCTTTTGTTCTTTTAGCGAGAGAAAGCAGACAGAGAAATGCAAGAAATGAAGCGGATGTCGTTGATGAAATGAGAAAAAGATGAAGATATAAAGTAGCAGTAGTATTTATTGAGGTGAGGGGTTCGAGGTGTCCGTCTGCTTTTAGTTGTAAACTCAATAAATAACATTGGAGAAAAAAAAAAAGAATTTGAAAAAAAAAAAAATTTATTGCTTTGTTTTGGAAGTGTAAATGAGAATAAGGAAGAGTTGGAGCAATCGTTATCTATTTATTGTTAAATAATATCACTTCCTTTTTAATATAAAAATTAGGATTTTGAATTTAAATCTTCTAAATTAAATATTTTTTAATCTATATTAATAGTGACATTTAAAATCTATCTACCCAACACCACGTCAACTTATTTAAAAAAAATTTAAAAATTAAAAAAAATTATCAAAATTTAAAAACTACACTCTTTTGAATTAAAAAAAAAAATCACCATAGAACTGCGTTAACGTCATTATCTCTCTTTCATTTTTTCAAAAAAAAATCATCATTCATTCCCACTATTTGGATAATATCAAGACATGCAACAACTTTCATTGCCAGTAGGATTGATTAAAAAATAATATATATATATATATAAAGCATGAATATATGGAGTTAGAAAAATACAACAAAAAAAGACATATATTTATAGAAAAGATGAAAGAGAACGTCAATTGGGAGCAACAACTTTCATTGGCAACATAAATGATTGAAAAATTATATATATATATATATAAAGCATGATATATGGAGTTAGGAAAATATAACCAAAAAAGACGTATACTTATAGAAAAGATGAGAGAGAACGGGTCAATCGGGTTAAAAGAGAAACAAGCAACTTTTTTGGAAAAGATGAGGGAGAGATAATGATGTTAAATGTTGTTAAAGTATGGTAAATTTTCCTTAATTAAAGAGAATGTGCAGTTTTCAAATTTTTTTTAAATCAGGTAGTTTAAAACTAGTAGTAGATATATTTTAAATGTCATGGATCAATTAGCGAATCCAACAGATAAGTTAGAAAATATAACTTATCATAAATTTAAAAGGATGAATTTTAGAATTTTTTATTATATTAATAGCGAATGAATTATTAAATTTATCCTTAATATCTACAATCGGGTTCACTATAATTTAACAACGATGTGAACGGAAAAAATACTGGAATTTTATTTTTTTCACTTAATAATTTTATAAATAAAACTATACAAGTAGAGTATAAAGTACTTCTTCCGATACTCGCCACCTATGAGTCATTTTTTAAAAACAATTTGGTTAGGTTATTTTTAAAATAAAATAAAAAATTCAAGTGGGAAAAACTAAAAATGTGAATCTTATTTCCCTTCTTTATTGAACACTATTCAAGTTGTCATCCATTCCACTCCACTTCATCCTCACTTGTAAAACAAAGATTATCTGTCCCTCATTTCCCTCTATCTCAATATAAATTTTAAGCACCTTTCGATACATATGTTAAGGATTGGTGCAGTTCTTAAAACAGTTCAAACAATTTAAAGATGATTAAAAAAATATTGTCCCATGAAATTGGATAGTTCAGTTCTTAAAACAGTTCAAACAATTTAAATATAATTAAAAAATAAAATGTTCTATGAACTTGAAGCTTTTTGTAACTCTTTATCTATGATAGTTTTAATCAAACAAAATTTTGAACTGATTTATGTACCTCAGTTCACATGGAATGGAAAACTCTCTCTTGCAAAACTGAAACAAAGCTGGCATTATGGTCATTGTTTTGTGCAATGAAGAAAACTCAGTCCAATACGCGAAGCCGAGACTTGAGTCCAAGCGAAGTAATAAACCTTTTCGATATATATATATATATATATACATATTCCGTAATCATTGGTGGCAATAGGGATTTCCTCCATGGATATTGGAGAAGAAAGCTTATGTATATAAAATCAACCTCTCCCCTCCAATTTACGCTATTGGTTGGTTTCTGTCATTTGATTCAAGAATTAATCTATCAAACTTTGATCTTCTTCCTTGCAACGAGATCATTTAAGAGTTCTATTGTTGCTTAATGTTTCATACTATATGCGTGATTAATTGCCTTTCATTCAATAATTGTTTTTCACAAAGTTTTTTTTCTAAATATATGTACACTTTCGGGTCTGGAATTGATGCTACAAGAACTCATTGTATGTATTCTCACAAGTATGATGCTCAAGTCACAAGAAAAAAAACTCCACATCAAGAGTAGAGAGTTCTCTAATCAGTAATCTGTAGAGGTCAGGACTAGTGAAGATTGACAAATGTTGACAGCAAAATTAGAAGACATTTATTTGTATTGTCCAGTTAAATATTGAGCAAAACTTAATAATTTCCCACTAAATGACAACAGATTCTAGGAGACATTAGAATGCATTTTACACATTTACCTCAATATCACCCTGCCTAAATCACTGGCTTGCAACACACGTAGACTCATAATCAACAGCTTGCCTCAGTGAAAATAATCAGGAAGGGCTTCAGGCATCAAAGATGATGAATGCTAATGGTTGATTTGCCACTGGAATCCCACGGTTTTGCTGCATATATAAACACACGCGTCTTCAGATTAAAAGCCGATGTGGGGAAAAGAAAAAGGGAAATAGCATAACAAAACAACTTCAAGCTAACCTTTGCAAGCAACTAAAAATCTTTTAGATGTTTCCCATCCAGAAGGTCAAAACTGAACTCGCAAGTGCTAACTAACAAATAGATTCAACTATTTGCCTTTCAGTATTTATCCATTCTATAATATCTGAACAATCTTCACGGTTGATGAAATGCCTTCACATGCAAAGAATCAATTAGCCCTTTGAGATGAATGATAAAACATGCTTCAATATTCAAAAACTTATACCTATTTCTAGTGCGATACGACTTTAGTGCCGATATTTCTCGGCGGTTAGATAAGTCTCTCTTCATGCTAAGTGATTCAGGCACAGTCAAATTCTCACTTTGGTCACGGTATGCATCGATAATAAAGTTGAGCACATTTTCCTGTAAAATTTGTGAATCAAAGTCAAATTCCCAGTTTGGTCACGGAATGCATCAATTATAAAGTTGAGCACATTTTTATGCAAATTTTGTTATACGTAAGCACAAGGGTATGAGAATGCCTGAGGCAAAAGAAATTAAGAAGCTCAATTCCTTCAGCATACAATACCAATTTTTCATAGCCATCTTAATTATCAGTGCCCAAATAGTGTGACTTGAACACCAATCAATTTCTAACACTTGCGCACCATGAGAACTAATAGTATTATTAAAGTAAAGAAATGTGAAACAGCAAGAACTTCTGTTAAAACCATTCCATTTTTTTTTTAGGAATACGTCGAGTGTTTCTCTTCATGCTGATCTGATAGTGAGTCATGGCTTGGTTGGCTGTCTATACATTATAGCAAGAGTAACCGGCAAGGACTTCATATAGCAGACCAAATTGTTAGGATAGGTCTTGTTGAGTTGTTTTAAAAGATTACTAGTATTCTTCTGAAGTTAATGATCTAAAATCCATTATATTTCCCGTGGCAGGGAGGGGGGACCCAATAACAATTCTACTTTGCATCATTTGCATCCCAATTGCTCGTGATTTAAGGGGAATCCTTGGATTGTTCTCTAGATGCTGTTCTTACTGCTAAAAAGCATCCCACAAAATCATAAAACCAGCCAAGAAAAGCCAAAGTTCCCAGAATACAACTTGTCAATTCTATCACTGGAAGACCACAGAAGAAAAATATTAAAAGTGATTGTAAAATGTTTTTCATGTCTGTATTTTCAAATGGAACTCCCATGCAGAAACAGGTGGTGATTTCTGTTGAGAACGTGTCTATGATTTATCAGATAACATGCTTCAATTATGACATTAGAAAACGAACAACAATGTTGATATGTATCCCACATTAGTCCCACAGAGAGAGTAATTAGGTGGAAATGAGCTTGTGTTCAAAAAATCTGAAAAACAGAACTCACAAACGGATAAAATATGAAGGCATAACCGTATAAAATGATCAAAAACAAAACCAGAAATTTTATTTTATATTACAAAATTCAAAAGAAAGGTGCATTTAAGGAAAACTATTGAAATTTATCCTCAAGGAAGGTAAAACGAAAAATTACTAAATCTTTTTTAATAAAACCAAATTAATAGACGGCTGAAAAAATATTGAATAATAGCAGATATCTATGAAAAACAAAAAAACAAAAAAAAGAAAGAAAGAGAAATTACAATATAAAGACAAGAAGGTTGAAATAAGGTAATGATTTATTGATTGATAAAATGCAGATCAGAAAAGGCCAGGATAGAATGACTATTTTCTTCTTTTAGAAAATTTATAGCGGTCCTGTATCTAATGTAATTTCGTTTTTAATGATTGTTGGCTTTGGAGTCCACACTTAAGATCGCCTTCTTTGCTTGGACGTCTGTCTTGGGTAGGATTTTAACACGGGATAATTTGAGGAGGAGAAAGCAGGTGGTTATCAATCGTTGTTACTTATGTCGTCGCGATGAGGAGACAGTGGATCACCTTCTGTTGCATTGCAGTATGACCAGAGATTGTTGGGATATGATGATTGGGTTATTTGGGGTCCCCTGGGTTATGCCCTGTTCCTCTAGAGGGTTGATTGAGGCTTGGAGAGGTTTCTCTATTAGGGCGCTCATCCAGGATGCTTGGAGGGCTACCCCTCTCTGTGTTTGGTGGTGCATTTGGCTCGAGAGGAATCGGAGATACTTCGATGGCAAGGAGAAACCCATTTCTATGCTTAAGTTCTCTATTATTTCTACTCTCTTTTGTTGGGTCTCAGGGAGAGATTATCGTTCTGTTGAGGAGATTGTTATTTTTTTGGCCTCTTTGAAGGCTTGAGGCTTTTTATGGCCTTTTCATCTTGTTTCCATGGGTTTCGCACCCCCCTTTGAGCGTTTTTTATAAAATTCTTACTTATCAAAAAAAAAAAAAATAAATAAGTGAATGATTTAAAAGTATTGTGTATGGTGTTGTAACTTATACTGCCAATTATGGTGCTCATGGACCTTTTTGTTTCTTCAGAGAAACTTTTACTAAACAGTGACGCATGATAACAACGGCGGTGTTTTTACCATTGAAGATGTTTTAATTTCAGGCAACCACAGTTTTATCTCCCTCTGTTGTCATTATCGCAGGAAACAAGAATACCTCTTCAATGTTGAAAAAAAGGATTTGCTCGTCATTAAGCCCTCAACATTAAAGTAGAAGTACATGAATTCACCCAAATATCAACCATGTAGTGCCATATTGAGTTCACTCGGGCACATATGCATATTCGTGTGTAATGATTTGTTATATAATTTGAGCTAAAAATGTGAGAAAAAAATGACATACCAGCGGTCTAGAAGCATCAATCCAATGATAAATGTCCTCATTGCGAAACCATGTCAACTGCCTTTTAGCAAAATTTCTGCATTAAACAACACTAATTAATATTAAATGGAAAATAGCATGACAAAATTTTTAAAAATACATTGTATTGTACAAAATATATGCTTTATGGATGAACACAGAGAAATGATTTCCAGGCAGTACATAAAGTGATAATTAAATATTCAATTTCAAAAGTTAAAGAGAAAAAAAAAAATGTTTGAACACCCATTCAAACAAGCATATCAATTAAATATCTGATCAACGCAACAGTCTTATCTGAACAACATGAAACCTGGTATATAAATCATTTTTAAATTATATGTGAATTTGAAAAAAAAAAAAAAAAAAAAAAAAAAAAAAAAATGGAAAAAAACACATTACCTAGATGCTTTCTGAAATTCAGATAAAAACCCATAAAAGTCTCTTGTAGAACTCCCTCCTCCCTGTTCTCGACACTTAACCAAGTATTCCATAGCCTGAAAGCATCATACAAAGACAAACAACCTTTACCATTAAGCAGTAAAATATGTAAATGACAATTCAAAGTTGCAAAATTAGAGAAATAGTAAAATTAGCAAAATGAATGATATGATTTGGTCAAAGAGGTTATGCAATCAATATTCTGAACAATGAGATAAGTACTGTACCTCTTCCATCAAGATGAAAAAGAAACAAACTAAGCAAACAACCATTGATTGCAAATTAAGCAAGGGAAAAAAATCTAAGACATACTTGTCGATAACCAATAGCTCGAGTTGCAGAATTAGAATTTGGCAGAAGACCAATATCAAGAAGCCATCTGGCCTCTGATAAAATCCCATCACCTCCTGCAATCAGAAGTCACTGTCAAGATGATATATAAGCTAAACGTCAATAATAGAATTTTCCACCAATCGCGCAGTCAAAAGCCTCTATCAAATATAAAATACAAGTCAAATGTAAAATGATACAACTTTTTTTTTTTCCTAGTTGGTACTCACACACACTTGTCTCTTCTGAGACTTGAACCTCTGACCTCCCTTTGGGAGGTAAGAGGCTGATACCGCTAGGCCACTGGCCCGTTGGTACAACTTAGACTACTATATGGCCATTCAGAGGAGAAGGAATTTGCAAAGACTGATATGTAATTATGTATTAAACAATTGCAATAAAGCTAAATACTGCTCATGTTGGAATTCAATCAATTCAAAAATATTAGTTCATAACAGATTATCATTGTTGCAAGTATATAGAAATAAGAAACTTAGCAGCAGGAGATATCTGAAATCTGCAAGGCAATAAACATAGACGGAAACAGTGAATTCAAGCCTTCCTATACACCATGTCCATTCAATCTAATAGAATAAATAGAAGAGAGAACCCAGAAACAGAACTTGAAAAACTAATATCAAGGGCCGTGAAAATTCACATAAAGAGCTGAGCAACTACGTGCTTAATACTCAACACAGTCTTAAAATCAATCAACACCTACAGATTAAATCAACATATATACTAGAACACTTCCCAAAAATTCTTAACTATAAGTTCATTAATAGAATACAATATCAGAGATTTCTGACCTAAATCTAATATTCTGTACAAGCTTTTCAATACAGTACAATGTACATTATGAGAAACATGAGTTCAGAAATACAAAACAAGTGATGAGATTGGACTATAGAAGAAATAAGATAAATAACGAACGTGTGAGGGGAACACTAGGTATAGATCCTATAAATGATATAATTAGGCAAAGTAGACTTAGTTGGTATGGTCATATTCAATGTAGGCCCGATGATGCACCTATAAAAAGAGGAAGAGTTGTTGTGTAGAAGGTAAGTGACCACTTGTGGGATGAAGTAATAAAAAGGATTTTGAAAATTCCAAATTTAAGAGTGGACATGGTATATAATAGGAAAGAATGGAAAAAGAGAATTCATGTGGCCGACCCCAACTCTATGGGATGAAGGCAAGGACAATGATGATGATGAAGTGATGAGATTGGACCTAGGAAGCACGGACACTCCAAAATGGGCGAAGAATCCGTGTCCGACACGTGTCGGACACGGACACGCGTCGGACCGCCCCGACACGTGTCGGACACGCCAAAAAACGTGTCTGGAATTTTTTTATTTTTTTTAATTTTCGGACACGGCTCGGACACGGCTCAAACAGCTCGGACACGGCTCAGACAGCTCGGACACGGCTCAGACACGGCTCGGACACACTTTTCTGGATTTTTTTTTTTTTTTTTAATTTTTAATGCTGATATGTTAATTTTTTTTTTTTTTTAAAAAAAATTTTAATGCTGATATGTTCTATTTTTTGTTTTGTACTACCCTAAAGATGCTGATATATATATGTACTAACCTAAAGATGCCACAATTCGCCGTGTCCGTGTCCTAAAGATGCTGATATATATATATACTAACATATCAGTGATATATATATATATTCCAACCTAAACATATCAGTGTTTTTTTTTAAAAATTATTAATGCTGATATATATATATATATATATATATATATATATATATATATATATACTATTCGCCGTGTCCGTGTCCTAATTTTTTTGGATTTGCCGTGTCGCCGTGTCCGTGTCGTGTCGTATCCGTGTCCCGTATCCGTGTCCGTGCTTCTTAGGATTGGACTCAAAAAAGATTTTGAGAGTTAAAATCATAAACAACAGACTAACAACATTGAAATGCATTGAGAGTAGTATCTGAAGAAGAGGTTGAAACCCCAAACAGAACTGACAATGACTCATTACCCATACTAGCTAAATATGTGATAATAAATTGTTTTCGGAAAGGAAAAGCAAACTGGAGGCACTCTATATTCACTAATTGTAGATTTGAACAAACACTGACATAATTTGCTAAAGAGCGTTCCTCTGTAACATAAATAAACACTAAAAAAGAAGTATTTTCCATATTTTGAAGTATAATGTTTCAAATACAATGACTGGCTAATCTAAGACAAATTGGAAGAGTAAATTCTAGGGTTGAGCTCTAAAAAAGTGGGAAACAAAATAAGAGTGGCCATGACATTGTTTACCTAAAAGCATATCTTCACACCGGAAATCAATCGATCGATAGAGATCCAGCCGTTGGCTTGACAGGAAAAAACAAATGAACTCATAATCCAATTCTTTTGAGTTACTGTCCTTGAGTCCATCAGCAGAAGTGTTGCTGGCAGGAGGGCTGTCTGTAACAAGGGAATCAAACTGTTCCCTGAAAGAATCATATGGCACACGAAAGGCAGATGGAGGTGACCCACTAGACTGCAAAGTGACAGAAAAAATTAAATAAATAAACAACGGATAAGTGTCCTTGAAAATACGATTTAATATCTCTACATTTCAAAAAGTGCAGCTCATAAGAACACTAGAGACTAATACTCTAAACTAAACCAAACTAGAATTGAAAAGAAATGCAAGGGCAATCTATCAGTTCATTGTTGAATTTTGAATTCCTGATGCAAAATCGCATATTAAGCAAAAAATAATTTCAATAAATTATAGCTAGACAGAGAGAAGAGGGATATTACTCAACAGTTCATAAATCTAGCTAAAAAACTTAACTAACCTTAATGATTTCAAGACTGCGACGTAAACGATACCAATCATTGGCAGCTAAAGATTGGGCCCTCGGATCACCAGCTTTAACCACCAACTGCACAGCTTCATCCCAGTCACCTTTCATTTGCAAATCTGCAAGCTCTGAATACACTTCAGAAGTAACCTCACGCGAGGCTTTTGGGACATCTGGCTTCCCATATATGAACCTTACATATCAAAAAAGGTATCATGGTTTTAATGTGCTATGTAAGTTGGTTTATTAATCGAATTTAGATATAATAATCCAATCACATGTCATGCCAACAGAGATATTAGCATAGAAAAAGTATTTATTACAAATAACACCAATATCAAATCGTGAAAAAAAGGAAAGCCATGTCTTCAGACTCTGCACCAAACTTCAATCAATTCCATCTATATATAACCCAAGCTAACTTGATTTTAGTTGGTAATTCAAGGGTGATCCAACCTACAACTGGGGGAAAAAAACCTGGAGCGCATTGCTCAAATCATTGGTCTGGTACTAGATGTAGCTTTTCCACCAGAGCCAAGGGATCGTTGAGTTTCTACCGAACTATGTAGGGCATTCAGGTAGACTCTGCACTGTCACTGCTTTGTATTGAGCTTTACATGATAATTTCTTTAAGGAAATAACCAAAATAGCTTACACTACTAAGTAATTTGGGTTCTTCAAAGTGATTTGTCTTGCTCATCATTAGACATTTGGGAAAATGCTAACTTATTCAATTACTATCAATCGAGAAAGGAATGCCCATCCCATCCTATACCATACCTTCCCTCTTTCTCCCAAAACACCATGATCTCAATGAAAGTACGAGATCGTTTGGATCTCAAGCTTATATTTCTTCAGTTTGTCTTGCTCATTCATCAAGATCCTCCTAAAATGATGCAAAACAGAAGAATACCTTATATGTAGGGGAAAATTACACCTTACCTCCCCTCTAGATAGGGAAAATTACACAACCCTCCCCTGAGTTTTAGAACATTACACTTAACCCCCTCTAGATTGCAACTTCATAACAAACTGACCCCATGCCGTCAGTTTCACTGATGGTCAACCGCAGTCAACTGTGATGTCATCAAACTAAATTTTCAAAAAGACAATTTTGCCTTTATAATATGTGAAGACAAATTTTCCCTCAAATGAACATCTAATTTTCTTGTATTAACCACTTTCTCTCTAAAACACAAGCCCCTCTCTCAAGGATTGTTTCTTTCTAACTCTTTCTCTCTCTAAAAACACAAACCCCTCTTTCTAAGATTGTTTCTCTCTATAACACACTCTCTCTCTCTCTCTTCCTTCCACCGCACCAGCCACTGTCACCACTGCCTTCTGTTTCTCTCTCTTAAACGCACAACACACAAACACAATCTATCAACAACTCACCCTCTCTCTAAAACTCTCCCCAATCTAAAACTCACACATACATAATCACTGGACGCTCCCATCTCTATCTTAATTCACCATTAGTCTAGGCCCATCACTGTCATCATGTTTCTGAATGCATGTTTTTGGTCAAACCAGTTTGGGGACATAAAGGCCATCAGTTACCTGCTTTCATGAAAGCGCCTCTCGGCGATAGTTTCTTGATCTATAAGTATTCATTGGTTGAAAATGGTTTTATTGTATTTTATTATGTTTAATTTAGGGAAATTTGACCAAATCAAACTCTAACAGGATTGATTATGTAAAATATAATTCACAGGCCCTTTGAATTCACCAGAGTCTCTACAACCCTGTTAATGGTCCATGGTTTTGTCTATATAAATATATACACAGACACTTATATATATAAACACTGTGATTAAAATTTTAAAATTATTATTTTTAGTTCGGTCAATATGGTAAATTATCAAACTTCATTTACTACGTCTGTCACTTTTTTTTTTTTTTTTTACTACGTCTGTCACTTAAAGGGGAGGTAAGTGTAATTTTTCAAAACTTAGGGGAGGTCCATGTAATTTTCTATTTTTCCCTAACTAGAGGGGAGGTAAGTGTATTTTACCCTATATTTAATAGTTACTAAGATAACATAAATAGGAGTGACATATATATATATATAAGCAGTGCAATTGCATCATTGTAGGTTCCATGTGAAAAGGAAGAAAAATGTGGTTCTGAAATCTATTTTAACCTCTGCCTTGGCAAACTAATGTAAAGCTATTTACATTTTTGAGGTTAAAAGTCAATATGATACAATATTGGCTCTGTACATTGCTTTACCAAAAAGGGGTCGAAACAACGAGGAAGACTCTTTCCTCTTATCTACCAGAGTAAGAGATTATCCTGTCACAGAAAGACTCGCCTGGTCAGCATTGACGATCAATGTGATTTCTTTATCTAGTTGTAAGGACTCTTGGGATGTTCTTCACTTCTTTTAGGGGTAAGGGTTTCTTCCTGTCCTCATCATGTAATTCTCATTGAAATTTATTCTGTGTACGATTATAAAAAAATCAGCGTTTTGATGAAAATAGTTTCAGCAAAGGAGGAGTATGGGATGTAACACAATTGGATGAGAATCCATAGATTGAAACAATGAAGTTGAATTGAGGCTAAAAATTACTCATCCTTTTAACTTCTGATTTATCTATGAAAGAGACTCTTTGGATGCATCAGGCATAGACAGAAAGGCCACAGAAAAATTCTCAGATGATTAAAAATACTCAGAGAATTATGAACTTCTCAAGGGTCCAAAGGTTTCTAATGATTCGCACCCTCTCTTGTGTTACTAGTTCAATAAATAATTAACATATAAGTGAAGCTCATTTATACAGGAGATGCGGAGACTTACCACCGTAGGTACAATCCAGTCCCACCAGTAACTATTGGAACACGCCCACCATCAAGAATATCTTTTGTAGCTTGCCTTGCATCCTCAAAAAATTGCCCAACAGAATACTCTGTGTACATAATGTCAAGTTTTCATCAATAGAATGAAAAATTAAACGCATCAAAAGATTCAAAACAGAATCACCAAACCCCAAGAGATATAGAATCAATAAAACCCACTTTTGCATTCTGCTCTCCATATTCTAACATGGCATGAACGCGAATGACTCCAATAGGCTTGATTGAATTCACACATACCATTATATGTGTCCTTTCACAAGATTAATCTGCTTAATTGTCTGTAAGTTTTTTCCTCACCAAAATCCTCTACAGGGTTATTCCTTAGTATATGTACATATGTGTAGGAAAATACCATGGAATGGTCCTTATCAAAGATGAGAAACATGAAAACGAGTGAAGAAAAATTCCTGCCGCTACCACTGTAGCACCATATATAAGAACCAAAATAGGAGTAGGCCCTTCCATGGAATCAGATAACAGTATATGAGGGGAATAGTGTAACTCAGATCTTACAAAGGGGGATGGGGGGTATACTGCAGCCTTGCTAAATACATCGCCCAAATCCTTCTCCCTCCCTCCCAACACCAACATACAGATATTTCCAATCAGAAATAGGAGATCTTGATTCTTGTGTTTTCCCACCGGAAAAGAGAGAGAGAGAGAGGGTAGAAAAACCATTGAACTCAAAATATTTCCAAAAATCAAAGGGTCGTAAGATATATATTGCCAATTTTCATGGTGCAACTATGTTATTCCACAAAGGGAAACATTGAGAAATATGTAAAAATTTGCTTCAATTTTTTGTTATGTCGTAAAAGAATTGTTTCAACATAATAGAACCCAAGTATGACAGAAAGACCTACGTGCATTGTGATAGAAGTGTAGGTATGTAAAAAAAAAATTGTCAAACATGTATGATGTGTTAACAATGAAAGACAAGAAAGAATTTGCTTTTATATCTAAAGAGTTATAGAATAATCATAATAATTTATGTTGTCTTCACGGAAAAATATGGACTTGTTAAGCAGAAAAATCTAGAGTATCTTGAAAGGTTGTTTACTTACAACCTCTTAATGATATATAGGTCAATTATATGCATATGATTAATTCCAACATAATACCTAAACAAAAACTTTTTTAATGCATTATGGAGGAATCAATGGAGAAAATCTTCAATATGATCAAATGAAGCTTTTAAAAATCCTTCCAAAGTCTTATAATAATACATTGATTTACCAAAAACAAGTGAGCAGGCGAGAGAAAGAGAGAGACAGAGAGAGAAGCATGCTCAGGAAAGATTTTTTAGAGACTTAAAAGCCTTTCATGCTTTCAACGAAATCAATATTTACGTGCTACAACACAAACACAAAATATATCATAAATAAGATATATTCTGGAAATTATATAGGTTCCCTTAGAATTACAATTTGCATGATATTTAGGACCACATCTATATAACTAGACTGCAATATAAACAGTTGGTTCTGATCTTTAAAGCTTTTCATCTTTCTCCATAATAGAACCTCTCTATAACCTAAAGTTAGTGAAGTATTACATTAAAGTAATTTACCTTAAAGGTAAACAACATCATAGTTAGAACCTAAGTCACATAGAGCGGGAACGGGAGTGAGAGCAAGAGCGGGAGTGCAAAGTCTAAAATATTTGAGAGCGGGAACGGGAGTGAGAGCAAGAGCGGGAGCGCCAAAGTCTAAAATATTTGAGAGTGGAAACGGGAGTGAGAGCAAGAGCGGGAGCGCCACAGTCTAAAATATTTGAGAGCAGGAGCGTCTCGAGAGTGTCTGCATATATATATATATATATTATGTATACTTATCCCATTATATCAATTTATTGAAAATGATTTTCTCTGCATTTTTATAATTAATAGAAATTGCCTTTTGATAATCTATTTAGAATTATATATAATACAGTGAATTTTTAAATTTGAAACAAAAAGTTGCAAGATAGTTAGATGCACCAGTTTACCAGTTTACCTTGTATAGAATGTAATTTTGTATTCATTTACTTGTAACCAAATCTTGGGAATGTCTCTAGCCAGGGAAGTGTGATGCACGCACCCGTCATGGCCATTGGATGGATAACTGAGGGAAGGGAAGTGGAATACACGCACAGACATTACAACCATTGAATGAATAACTGAGGGAATCTCATGACAGGTGGTTACTAATGAAGGGATTCGTTTGAATACGCTTTGTCAAAACTTGAATTCGCAAATTCAGAAAATTGAATTCGCAAATTTTCATCGAATACGCCCTCAATTCACAAATTCTCGCACGGAGCGCAAAACAGTCCCCCTACTCCACGAATTATGTGACTTAGGTTAGAACACTCATGCACTTCACCAATTGCATATCGCTAAAACATCAACTAGACCAAGCAAGCCAGCCTTGTTGCTTGAAATTAGTTGCGGATGTCTGCTGTCCTTCACCAGTATATAAACCCAAAGCATAAATATAACTGATATACTGGTATTTTATTTTTTCAGACACCTTCCATATTAATGGTCGTCAATCTGAATGGTCTTATCAAAATGGTCCTTCAATACAATGTGTATAAATAAATTTAAGGGTAAAGTACAGAGACACTCCCCGAGGTTTGGGGTAAGGACACGTAGATGAAAGTTTGCCTATTTTTGGACAACCACACCCCCCTTGTGAAAATTGTCATCCAAACAGAACTTAAAACATGTGAAAAGTCTATTTTACCCTTCATTATTTTATTAATTTTAATTATAAAATATCAAAATAATTAAATGACCAAATTACCCTTTTCATCTCTCTCTCTCTCTCTCTCTCTCTCTCTCTCTATATATATATATATATATACACACACACGCACAACCACACAACAGTCACCACCACCCCCAACCCAGACCCGAAAGCTTCGGCCATGACACCACCTCCACACCTTCCAACCACCGGCCGGTGACCAATGTCTATCCATCGGACTCAGTTATTAGCAGTGTAGGCGGAGGCTAGTGTAAGAATAAGGTAAGCCTCGATGGATCCGGTTCAATCACACAAATTATTGAATTGCAGAATCAAGCTTGATTCTTCTTTCTTGTTGGCACGAGTTATGTGTCCTCTTCTGTTCTGCTTTCAAAAGTGGAAAATCTTGAAGAAAACATTCAAAGTCAAGGCAAGCTTTGGATCCCTAAAGACCCACACCTCCGCTTGTAAAACCTTCACCCGATCGACTTTGATGAATGATTCCTTCTTGAAGCGAAAGAGCAGGAGAGCAAAGAAAACGAGCATAGTGAAAACTCCTTCAAATCTCAAGACATCCTATTTGTACTTGCAAAACTTGGAGGAGAAGTGAAACCTTTTTGAGTCATCTCCCAATCTAACCAGTTGGCTGGTCTTTGGAATTGTTTGATTGTAACCATTGGGGCTGGATATCAAAAGTGAAATTGGGGCTTTCTCCTCGGATTCTAGGGCCACAGCATCGCTGCCCCCTTCCATTCCTCATTTTCACGGGGAAACTAGATCCAAGTAGTCAAGGATCTGGACAGATATATATATATATATATATATATATATATATTGGTGGTTTGGGTTAGGGTCTGAAAGAGGGGAAAGAGAAGAAGAGGGTAAGGATTTTTGGTTTTTCAGATGGGTTTTACCACATAACCCATTTAAACTTATTTGATACAAGGGTATTTAAGTAAATTGTATTTGTCAATTTTATATCAAAGGATAATAAAGTCAATTCACTATTGTCAGGGTGTCTTTGTCAATTTTATCAAACTTAAGGGGGTGTGATTGTCTAAAAGTAGGACAACTTTCATCTACCTGTCCTTATGCCAAACCTCAGGGGGTGTTAGTGTACTTTACCCTAAATTTAAAAAAAGCATATGTCCCTAAATTAGCTTTCAATGCAAAATATCATTATGGTACATACTATCTGGTCTAGTGAGCAACATACCTTCAGATGGGTGCAATATGTCAATCAAATGGTGTGGTACTTCCTGCAAAACGATATTATAAATTTTTTAAAACAATGACAATTACATTCACAAAACTTGTAGTCAAGTTCCAATTGCTGAATCTAGACCAGGCAAGATACCATGAGCAGCATCAAATCTCATCTCAGTCTTGATAAATATCTAATGAGAAATGATAAGCTTATTCAACTGATTTTTTTCCCCTAATGCAGGAAAAAGAAAGAGCAAAGACAAGAAGTTGAAAATTTCATCACATTTAAATGAATGATTCCCCTCTATTATAAAAAAGAACTTACCAGAGAACCCTAGATGCAATGCCACACTCCAACTGTCCAAAATGGTTATATTAACGTGGTAATATGGGTTATTTTTTCAGTTGAAAATGATAATATAACTATCCATTCAAGGAAAACAAAAACTTAAAGCCACAAGTCACTCGTGTTTAAAAAGTAGAATAATCACTTAATCAGATATTGAATTACTTACTCTTGTTGAGCAAGGACTGTCAGTCAAGTGCCTCTAGAAGTGACTATTTTTGGCAGAAAAAGGCAACATAGAAATACATCATCCAGAGCCATGTCATTATGATTGTTCAAGACCACCCCTCCTTTAATTATTTTCTGGCTCCATCACTGACCCCATGCAACTGATAAAGATTGATTTTCGAAAAACCAGCTTTTGCAAAGGTCAATTTCTTGATAAGCAAAATATGCAATGGCCAAGGATAATCATCTTAGTTGGAAATTATCGATGGCATGGTGACAATTACAGCTGACTTATTGATAAATCAAACCCTAATCATGCAAGAACTAAAATCATTTTTCTAATACTGAGTTATGTGACACTGAAGAAATTGGATGTATCTTCACAAAAGAAATTCAGCAGTTATGCTGAGGATTCACTTCATTTGACGAGGGCCTTAGAAGATCTAGAGCCAAAGTAACAGGTAAAGAGGAAACTGAATATACAAGAGCATTAACCAAGCTCTACAGAAGATGTAAGAATCTGCTATTTTTTAAAAATCCCAGAACGAGTTCAAAGCATATACTTCACTTATGGATAGGCAGTTTTCCCAGATTAAAGTAATAAAAGTCCATAACATCAATTAATAAAAGTCCTGATGATCATAATATATTGAAGTATAAATACAAATCAAGAATATAGTTTGCTTTATTTCTATAAGTACCTTTCTTTCACTCAATGAAGGTTTTGCAGATCCAACATCAAGACCTCGATATACCTATGTCACGAGTGAAGTGATCCAACTTTAGCATCCAACAGAGAAAATAATAAATAAATAATAATAATAATAAATTATATAATAAAAAAAATAATAAGCTACAAAAATAGGTCATTATGCAGCATACGTGATAGACAGTATCAGTCAATAACAATTAGGCAATGCCATGTAGATTGTTATGCGAACAAGTATTAAGTATCCACTGTACTGCCCTTTTTTGTTAGTTGACGTAAATCAACTCCTTTTTCTTGGATGGGTTTTATGGGTTTCTAAATAAGAAACTAGGTACGTCCTTAATCGCAGTTTCGAATTAATATTCAAGAGGTAATTTTCTTCCCTTTTACTCAATGTCCTAAGGAACCAAACAGAGGATAATGAAGTGAACGGTGATTCGAGAACTATCTAACCTGGACTGAGTCCGCACTGACGATCTCTCCGTTGAGCCGCTTCGCGAGCTCCAGAGCGAGCCTGCTTTTTCCGGCACCGGTGGGCCCGGATATCACAATAACCTTCTCCTTCTTCTTCGGCGCCACGGAGACGGAGCAAGTGGTGGTAAATAGCCGGCGGTTGCGACGGCAGCGGAAAGAAGGCGAAGATGGTCCGAGTAGAGGAGTCTCAGCGGAGTACGGAAGGCGTAGGCAACACGCACGAATGACTCCGATACCACTAATCATTTTTCGGCAATGATCGTGGAAGAGAGAGGGAGGGTGTGATTTTGAGTTGGGAAATTCAATTTCACGCACACTCCAACTCTGGTTATTGAGTTGGATTTCTTGAATACAGATATTTAAATTAGGAATAGGGATACCTTAAATTTCCCGAAAAAAAAAAAAAAAAAAAAATAGGGATACCTTATCCCAAAAAGAAATTAGGGACAGTGAAAAATAAAATAAAAATACGGATAGGAATGTTGAAAGGAGAGAAAGCTACAAATTACAAGAATCTTTTTTTTTTTTTAGGTAAAAGAAATTACAAGAATCTTCCCTTCCACTTTATTTTAATTTTTATATAATTAAAGTGACAAATAAAAATGGGGTGCAATTATATTTTTTATAATAATTGTAGAGTGCATATGTATTTTGTAGAGTAATAATATTATTTTATTCTATAATAGAAATGGTGTATAAGTTATGAAAAGTGAAGTGCGATTAATTATCAGTTATTTGAAGAAAAATAAGAGGAAAAAATTTGAAAAATGAAAAATTTGTCTTTGGTAAGAAAAGGTGGAGGGAATAGAGTCCAAGAGAAAGGATAAATGAGTTGATAATTATTTGTTTTGTTCTTATTTTTTATATTTTTTCTCCATTATTTTTTTCTCAAGTTAATTTTATATTTTGATATACATTTATTGCAATAGTTTTGTATCTTAATTCTCAAATCCCTAGTCAAAATTTTGAAACTGATAAAAAAAAATAAAAGAAAAGAAGAAAGAAAATAAAATTTCTAGCACTATCCTCACTTTTTCTTTTTTTTTTTCTTTTCTCTTTGATATCATCTACTTTCCCTCCTTAGTATACCAAACACAATTTTACTATTATAAAATTTTTAATATTTGACCATGATACCAAACTTGACCTCACCAACCGGTAGTTGCATGGAGTGATTCTGAAATTCTTGAAACCCAAGAAACACCTCCAAATAACAACCATAATTAATCTCAATTTTCAAACATGGAGTAAAATACAAACAGTATCATCTTCATCCACCACATCTAAATGACGACACAAGCCTCGCCGGATCGACGGATCCAATTGCTCTTCCCTGTAGCACTAGCTTCTCTCCTGATCCTAGGAACTGCAAGAATCATCCTAGACAGTTTGAAGAACAACCGAAGCCAATTTCTATGGCAGGAGAGCGAAAAGCATAGAGTAGTGAGACTGCCGATTAATATTTCCGGCGACGAAATCATCCCTGAAGGGTGCAATATTTTTGAAGGGCAATGGGTATGGGACAATGTCTCATTTCCACTTTATACAGAAGAGAGTTGCTCTTACTTGGTCAAGCAAGTCACTTGCCAGAGGAATGGGAGACCTGATTCTAACTATAAAAATTGGAGATGGCAGCCTAATGCATGCAAACTACCAAGGTAACCAAATTGTTTTTAGGGCAAGTTTGGGTGTTCTATGAAAATCATATACCAATTGTTTGTTGTTCCAACTGCCATTGCCAAGTGAAATGGAATGATTTGTGGGGTCATTCCAAACGCGCCTTAAGGGGAGTTTATGATTTTTTTTTTTTTTTTTTTATTAAGATGTTTCTTTCATTTATAGGTTTAATGCTCTGAAGTTATTGGAGATATTGAGGGGCAAACGGCTGATGTTTGTAGGAGACTCGATACAGAGAGGCATGTTTGACTCAATGGTCTGTTTGGTACAATCTGTAATTCCTGAGGGAAAGAAATCCCTTCAAAGAATTCCTCCTAGAAAGATTTTCACAGCTGAGGTACATCAACTTACCTGTCATCTGGTTAATTGCCTTGTAAATGAGCAACTTTTATGTTTAGACAACATAATATATATATATATATATAAGTATCGTGTGTTTATTTCAGGAGTATGATGCATCAATCGAGTATTACTGGGCTCCCTTCATAGTTGAGTCTAATTCGGACCATGCAACAAATCATACTGTCAAAAGGCGGCAAGTTAATCTTGATTCTATATCTAAGCATGGCAGAGAGTGGGAAGGAGTTGATATTTTGGTATTTGAAAGCTATGTATGGTGGATGTACAAGCCTTTGATCAACGCAACGTGAGTATTTAGACGTCTACACTTAAAATTAATAAAAATGCTTATATCAGAATGTGATTTTCCACTTTATTTGTGGCTTCTGCTTTTGCAGATATGGATCTGCCCAGAGTGTCCAAGAATTCAATGTAACCACTGCATACAGATTGGCTTTAGAAACATGGGCAAACTGGATAGAGACCAGTGTTAACCCTCGTAACCAAAAGCTCTTCTTCATGACCATGTCTCCAACTCATCTGTGGTGAGTCTCAAAACAAACTTTGGTTCTTCGAGAACATTGAAAAGTTTTGACTATGTCTACCAGTAGAATCTTACGAAAATTTTGATTTTCAGGAGCTGGGAATGGGAGCCTGGAAGTGATGGAAACTGCTTCAATGAGTCGCACCCCATTGAAAGACCATACTGGGGAACTGGTTCAAATCTTGATATCTTGAGAATAGTGCGAGAAGTGTTAAAACAAGTAAAAATTGATGTCACATTGCTGAATATTACCCAGTTATCAGAGTTCCGGAAAGATGCTCATACATCAATTTATGGTGAACGCAAAGGGAAGCTCTTGACAAAAGAACAAAGATCAGATCCACAAACTTACGCTGATTGCATCCACTGGTGTTTACCGGGAGTGCCTGATACATGGAACCAGATTTTGTATGCACACTTGATTCAGGATTATCGCATTCTTTGATATAAACTAGGGAAATAAACACAACCCAAAGCTCTTATAAATCAAAGGAGTTGTGTCTGTATATTAATATTGAGCTTTGTTTTTGTGCGTGCGCGTCTGTGGTGGCTGCTCTACAAAAGACTACACGAATTCTTCCACCAGGTCCTGGCTGAACTTAGAAACAGGGTGTTGCTTTACTTCTCTGTATTGTGTAGGTATGAGGCTCAGGCAAGGTTGGTAGGTTGGGTTCTTGTTGATAATTAGGACCTAGTTCTTTTCCTAGAATGCAACCACACTACTGAAGATTTTATTTCCAAACTTATGCAAAGTTCTCCACAAATACAGGTGGAACCATTTCCAAAATTGAGCAACCCAAGTAATAAGTGATCTTATTCTTGCATAATTTTATTTTAACAAGAACAAGATCAGAGACCAGGAGGAAACAGGCATTGTTTAGAACTCCCAAAATGAAGCATTGGTTAAGACTAAACAATTCTATGGACTTCTACGATTTTGACTAGAGAGGATGCTACCTCCTCAAAATTAGAAAAAACATTAGTGTTTGATTATCAAATATTCTGTAGAATATTAATTGGGGTAGTACCACAGAGGGGTAGTACATTGGATTAAAGTAATAGCATGTGTTAAAAGCTTTAACGACGCACGTAAATTATCCATATCATGGTTTCGATATGTAAGAGCAACTTGCTGGTTTGCAGTTCTACCAACCTGAGAGTGAGGGCCCTCGTTTCCTCCCCCAGGCATCAATGGGAATCCATAGGGACAACTATCCATAGTGAGTTAACCCTAGCAATATCTCCTGGTTTCTCAAATCATAGAAACCCTGCAATAAAAGATACCTGCAACAATAACAACATTACAGCGACCAATAAATGTCTTCGGGGAGGGGAAAGAAGCACCGATTAACCAAGTTGGGGGAAAGCACTAAACAAGCATCAAAGCAGGAAGTGCAATGATGCCTATTGATTCAGCTACAGTATTTATTAAGAACTTTAAATTGTCATAGACAAATACCATTCCATCTCTTGAAACAGATAAATTAATGCACTTGATCATTTGAACTACCTCACTGTTTTATTTTTATCCTTTTTTTCACCGGGAAGGGAAATTCAGACATAATTATTAACACTGAGCAGCTTCATCTTCATCAAATTCATCAGCACAGGATAGAGGGAGGCTGCCGACCGGTTCAGTTGCATTATTATTTACAGAGGGCAGTACACTCTACAGAATCTCCCATTCAGAGTCACATAAATCATGAGTTGGTGATTTCTTTGAGTTCAAGGACATGCTCGCGATAGAGGGTAAAACATTTTGCCCTGAGTGCTGGCTGAAATCTATATCAACATCTCCATACCAAATCGGCAGCTGCTCATACTCCTTTCTTAACCTCTTTTTCGAAGTAAAAGCATCCTGTATCATTTTCTGGCAAAAGGAAGAGATTAACTTAGACTTGCTTATTTTAACAGGATAAAATTACATACAGGAAAAAAATGTATCATGGAATTTTCTTCTTAACAAAAACTAGCAATTTGTTTTACATTCCAATAACACTACTCCAGAGTACCAAACGCAACCTCAACAATTGTCAATGGTGCGAGGCAAGAGGCACATTACCTTGTACGATCTTGATTTATTTGCTCTACTGGAGACTTCAAAGAGTAATTTATCGTCCACAATGACACAACTCTCATCAAGCTTCACCTTATCAGACAATTCGATGGTTTCCATGCTAGGGTCAGCAATATCAACCCTGAAGTCATCTGCCTCTCCTGTAAATGCATTCTGACATTAGCAATCAATATTTAAGACATATCATAGACATGCAAAGAATTGCACTGAAGTGAGCTGGTCATCTATCCAACTAGCAAAGGCAGAGGACAAATAAAACCAATATCTTTGCCAATGAAAAGAATATCCCCGGACATACAAGAAGCACATAAAGAGTAGAAAAAAGATGAAGGATATACAGCCCCACCCCTCACCAAAATAGCCGTCATTGTGTATACAGTGATACAGGTTATGGGAATAAAGTATGGTATATCAAACCCACGTCCACTGTCCAATAAAATTATTTTCAATTAAAGTGAATACTAAACCCTTTGGCACGCATAACGTTAAGGTTTTAAATTTTATAACTAACATATTCTTTGATAATCCTTAAACATTATCACATGTAAATTCTATGTTGTAATTTTTTAAAATTAAATTTTCTAAGTTGGCATTTTCTATCTCTATTGACCATGAATAACGAATGTACAAATACTGAGCTTCATGAACCTACTATATAATAGACACTGCAAAATGACTGAAGGACCTGAACCGCCTAAAACTTGCCTCGCGTCCAAGTAGCACATATAAAAGCACGCAAATGAATTTGAAGCAAACGAGAAGATAAAAACTTTATATATCAAAAGGTTGTGGTGAATATATACAGTATATATCAAAGCATATGAAAAATTCCAAAAATTCTATATATTTTTAAAATTCAAGTTTTTGCTTGCTTATATAATTATTATTTTATAAAAGTGCAAAACATATTATTACTTCTCATCGCGATAGAACATGATGCCCTAATTTGGGAGGGGGGGGGGAGGGGCGCGGGTTGTGAAATAAGTATCACTATCAGGATCAATTTCCACACATGAAGAGAAAGAACAATGAAGAAATCAAAGAGAAATTCTTTTGGCTCTGTATATAATATAGAAGACCAAAACGCATTGTCGCTTTAGTCTTTTTTCAGTAAAAAATGGATCTTGAAATATAAATGGAAGGATGTTATGTATCATATTCTATAAGAATTGACAATGGGACATAGTTCTGGACATCCTTCGAAAGCCTGCAGCTTGACCTACACAATCTTTTAGCACCCCACACAACAAGACAGGTAAAAGCCGCAAGGGACCAAGTAATCTGAAGCCTAACAGAAGGATGTGGCTGTGAATAAGTTCAAATTTTCAGTAAAGAATTAGACGGAATTCATTTTCACTAAGCTGACATTTTAAACTCCACATGACATCAAAGTTGTGCGTCAAACTTTCACCTTTTAGTGCGTGCATCACAAAATTAGGGAAACTTAGTATAGTAACCTGAAGACCCCAATGGTTTCCTATTAATCTATTCAAATGTTTTTTAGGGGAAACTAAGGACCTGCAAGGTTCAGTTTTCTGTTTTCCGAGAACTGAAAATCCCTGAGAACTGAAAAACAGAAAACTGTACAAAAAATCTGTTCTGCTGACAGTTTTTTAAAACAGTTTTCCTGTTTTCTTAGTTCTTTGGAACTGTTTTTAGATGGTTCTCTGAAAACAGTTTTTTGTTTTCCGAGTTCTTGGTAACTGTTTTTAGAAAATTGAACCAAGCAGGCCCTAAGCTTTTACAGGAATCATCTGTGAGGATTGGCTCAAAGAATTGTATGCAGTTACTCTACAATTAGAAAAAACACATTCTTAGCCCTAAAGACAAAGTTCTGCAAGGAAAAATGTAAATAATTGAAAATAAGAGGACATATCCACCGAAAAATTCCAAAATACACTCCCATAAAGCAATGAAAATTCAAAACTAACAGATTTATTGTTGTAGTCATCAACATTAGTAGCAATATCACTAATGATGCAATTTTCACAGCAGAACATTCAGAATCAATATAATTGTTAGAATGTTATATATATATATATATATATATATATATATATATATATATATATATATATATATATGTTGGGCCATTATGTAATTACATATAGTTATTAGGGCCCTTGTGTTATTAAGTTGACTTGTATCCTTTATATAAGCCTACATAGGCTTATTAGGTTAAGAGTGTGAAAAATATATATACAAGTTCTCTCTCTCTCTCTCATGATTAAGAACATGGTATCAGAGCAACACGAATTCATGGGTGTGAGGGTCTAAAATTGTGTTGTTTAAGATCGGAATCACGATCGGAATCGCAATTGTGGTGTTGGTGTTCCTGCTTTCTTCGTTCGTCGCCGGAAGCTCCTCGTTCACCGTCATCAGATCTGCATCATCATTCGTCGTCATCAGATCTGCATCGTTCGTCATCGTCGTTGCCGGCAGCTTCTTTTTGGTTGTCAGTAGGGCTGCAAATGAGCCGAGCCGAGCCGAGCTTGGGTCTGTTCGGGCTCGGCTCGTTTGTTTATGGGGTCTGCTAGGGCTCGGGCTCAACTCGTGACGAGCTCAAAAAATTGAGCTCGGGCTCGGGCTCGTCTTAATTTTAAAAGCTCGGGCTCAGCTCGTTTTACAAAAATAAATAAAAATCAAACTCAAAATTAATTATAATCCACATGCAACAACAAACAGTATGCACTATCATGGAAAAATGGCTCGACTTCCAGCCAATTATCAAATCAAAGCTACTTGTTTTTATAAGAGAAGTCTAAACTTACAATACATATAATACAATTTCAGAATTAAAAGTATGATATGTAATACCTAAACATGAAAACACCAAAAACAAAATAGGGTTTCTTACTGAAGGCAAAGATCAAGCCCCAATTTTCAGTGATGCCTTGAGACACCAAGAGAGAGCCCTACAGAAAGAATCGATGATGTTTTACCTTCCACTGGACTTTGATCTTCAATGGACTTAGAAAGAGAGGAAGAATGCACAGATGATTTAATTTTTTTTATGTTTGCCCTCTGGTTTTTCGTTGGTCTCTGCCTCTCTTGGTCTTCACTTGCTCTTCACAATTTCATCTAATTGGTATAAACAATAAAGTGACTGACTACCTAAAGAATGCAAAAGAAATGAAAAGAACACAAAAAAAAGGTAAAAAGTGATGGAAATTGCACGTGTCAACGCTTAGAGAATCAAGGAGATTGTGAAGAGATAATGCTTACATTATTTTATTTATTTTAGTACTTAAGTTATAATAAAATTAAAAATCTGAGTGTGTGTGTATATATATGTATATATATAATATCTAATACATGTATTTATATAACGAGCCAAGCCGAGCTTTGTTCACGAACATTAACGAGCCTAAACGAGCTCGTGTTCACGAGCCTATACGAGCAGAGTCTAACATTGCTCAGGCTTGGCTCGTTTACTAAACGAGCCTATAAATTGGGCTCGAGCTTGGCTCGTTTACTTAACGAACGAGCCCGAGCCGAGCCCGAGACAGCATGGTTCATTTGCAGCCCTAGTTGTCGGCGAACTCGCCGACATCTGCCGTCTTGATTTACAGAGGTGAGATTCATCGATTCGCCTTTTTTTTTTTTGGCCGGAAGTTGCAGAGGTAGCTGCCTATTAATTCGGCCGTTGCTTGTGACTGGGTCGCCATTGTCTTCGCTGCTTTGTTCACCGGCGTTTGTGAAGGTGTGAAGAAGAAGACCCGTGCTTGGCTACACGGTTATGCTATTCCAATCCTGGTTTACTAAACCTAGAATAGCCATTCCAACCCTGGTTTACTAAACCTGGGATAGCCCAGATCTGGACCGTTTGACCAGATCTGGCCCGTTTGCAAGGTTCGGCTAAAATACAAATTCTGCTTCTTTTTCTTCTCTGTTTTGCTGGGTTTAACATGGCGTCCAATTCAAATTTGATTTCTCCCATATCCGGTCTTCATTCTCCCATAACTTCAATTAAACTTAATGAGAAGAATTACATACTGTGGGCTAAATCTGTTAAAATTTTTCTCAAAGGTAGAGGCCTTGGTACTCATCTGACTAAAGAGAAACTCAAGGAAACTAATGCTTCTTTTGATGCATGGGAAAAGGAAGATGCTCAGATCATCTCTGTGATGATGAACAGTATTGAACCCCAAATTAGTTCAACTTTACTTTATTTGGATACTGCCAAGGAGATATGGTACAGATTGCAGCAACTGTATTCTGGGAAAGGTAATATCACTCGTATTTATGAGCTCTGTAAGCAGTATTTCAATCTTAAACAAGGTAATCACAGTATAGAAGAGTATTATTCCAAAGTTATGGGAGTCTGTGAGGAGCTGTATCAGCCCATTACTGCTGATGTTCGAAGTATGCAACAACAACGTGAGGACTTTACTGTTGTCCGTTTTCTTACTGGTTTGTCATTAGCTTATGAGTCTTTTCATTCACAGATTATGGGCAGTCCCACACTTCCATCTCTTGCTGATGTGTTTTCTCGACTTCAGTGCGCTACACTTGTAAGTGATACCTCAACTTTGAATACTGGGCAAAGTAGTGAGCGTTCAGCATTGATAGTTTCAAAAGGTGAAAATACTGCTTACCGTGGAGGTCGTGGGGGACGCTCCACCCGTGGTGGTCGTGATTCACAGGGAGGACGTGGTCGTGGCAGGGAATCACGAAAATGTACTCATTGTGGCCTTTCTAATCATACTGTGAATTTTTGTTGGGACCTTCATGGCAAACCATCTAGTTATGCAAATCAAGTTTCCTCCTCTCCGAATGATGTTGCTTCTGGATCTCACAATGTAGCTGAATCAGATACGGTCCCTGTTCCACGTGATGAGTATACTCAATTTTTGTCTTATAAGCAAGCATCTAATTCATCTTCCACGGCTACCTTTGCCCAATCAGGTACTGCACACACATGTCTATTGTCTTCCACTCGCAGTCCTTGGATCATAGACACTGGAGCATCCGATCATATGACTAGATGTTCTTCTTTCTATCTAATTTTAATTCTGTAACTCCTTCTCAAAGAGTTACCCTTGCTAATGGTTCCTCCACTAAGGTTTCAGGTTTGGGGACAACTCAACTTAGTGATTCCTTGTCTCTCTCGTCTGTTTTATATGTTCCTCAGTTTCCCTTTAATTTAATGTCTATCAGTAAGCTTACTAAATCTCTTCAGTGCTCTGTTACATTTTATCATACTTTTTGTGTGTTTCAGGATCTCAAAACGAAGAAGAAGATTGGTACGGGGTATGAAGCTGGTGGCTTATATTACTTTGATTTGGCACCTTATCCTGTGGCTCTTCAGTCTTCTCTGTCTCCATTCCAGTGGCACTGTCGTCTTGGTCACTCGTCACTTCAAGTTTTGCAACGTCAAGTTCCTAGTCTTAGTCATTTGAAATTCTTGTCATGTGAAGTTTCTCAACTTAGTAAGCACCATCGCATGTCTTTCAAGTCTATGGTTAATAATCGTGTCTCTAGTCCTTTTCATCCGGTTCATTCAGATGTATGGGGTCTAATAAAACATTCTTCAATCAATAAATTTCATTATTTTGTGATATTTGTGGATGATTATTCTCGCCTGACTTGGTTGTTTCTGATAAAAGATCGTTCTAAGTTATTTTTAATTTTTCAAAAATTTCGAAAAGAAATCAAAACTCAGTTTGGATGCCCAATTCGTATTCTACGTTCTGATAATGCTAAAGAATATTCTTCAACCCCTTTTGATACATATCTTAGTGATAAAGGAATTATTCATCAAAATTCATGTGTTTATACTCCTCAACAAAATGGAGTTGCAAAACGTAAGAATCAACACCTCTTAGAAGTAACCCGTGCTCTTTTGTTTCATATGCGCATGCCTAAACGGTTTTGGGGTGATGTTGTTCTTACTGCCTGTTATCTTATTAACCGTATGCCGTCATCTGTATTAGATGGCAAATCTCCACATTCTATTTTATTTCCTAATTCTCCTTTGTTTTCTCTTACTCCTAAAGTTTTTGGATGTGTATGTTATGTCCACAATCTTGGTCCTGGTTTTGATAAACTCGACCCATGTGCCACAGAGTGTGTATTTCTTGGATACTCTCGTTCTCATAAAGGTTATCGCTGCTATAATCCTGTTTCTCAACGGTACTTTATTAGCGCGGATGTGACCTTTTCTGAGTCCATCCCATATTTTTCAGATAGTGATTCAATTCTTGATATTACTCCTGAGTCGCCTCTTCCTGCGGTTCCTCTTCCCTCACTTTCTCTTCAACCTAGATCTCCTTTGCCTGCCCCGTTACAGGTGTACACTCGAAGACCAAAGCCATCTGCTGTCGTGCCTCCTCCATCGTCTTCAAAATCTTTGGGTCTAACACAGTCCACTGTGTCTGATTGCTTGCCTATTGCACTTCGTAAAGGTACTCGCTCGTGTGTCACTAATCATCCCATTGCTCATTATGTCTCTTATAATTCCTTATCGTCATCCTTCTCATATTTTTCCTCTCAGTTGTCTACTACATTTGTTCCTAAGACTGTGCAGGATGCTCTGTCTGATTCGGGCTGGAGGAAAGCAATGCAAGATGAAATGGATGCTTTGCATCAGAATGGCATGTGGAATCTTGTTCCATTACCTCCAAGTGTCAAACCGGTTGGTTGTCGCTGGGTATACACTGTGAAGTATCTTCCAGATGGGTCCGTTGAGCGTTTAAAAACCAGTCTTGTTGCCAAAGGTTATACCCAGACTTATGGTATTGACTATGATGAGACGTTTGCCCCTGTTGCTAAGATTTCTTCTATTCGTGTTTTGATTTCTCTTACTGCTAATAGACATTGGCCTCTGTTTCAGTTAGACGTTAAAAATGCTTTTTTGCATGGTGACTTAGCAGAAGAGGTTTATATGGAGCAAAGTTTGTTGCTCAGGGGGAGTATCTTCACACTGTTTGTCGCCTTAAAAAGGCCCTGTATGGATTGAAACAATCTCCACGGGCTTGGTTTGGAAAATTCTCTGAGGCGGCATTAAAATTTGGTCTTAACAGATGTCAGACCGACCATTCGGTATTTCACCAGCACACTAAAGCTAGCTTCATATTTCTTGTGGTGTATGTAGATGATATTGTGATCACAGGTGATGATTCTGAAGACATTGCTGAGTTGAAGTTGTTTCTGCAATATCGATTCCACACTAAAGACTTGGGTAAACTTAGGTATTTCTTGGGTATTGAAGTTACTAGATCCAAGAAGGGTATAAGTTTATCCCAACGAAAATATGTGTTGGACTTATTAGAAGAAATAGGTATGTTGGGTGGTCGACCGGTTGATGCTTCTATGGATTCGAATACAAAACTTGTGTCTGATGAAGGTGATCTATTTCATGACCCGGGCAGATTTCGTCGCCTTGTTGGGAAATTAATTTATCTCACTATCACTCGATCTGATATTTCATATGCAGTTAGTGTTGTAAGTCAATTCATGGGAGCTCCTAGAATGCCACATTGGATTATTGTTCTTCGGATTATCCGATATCTCAAGCAAGCTCCAGGTTTTGGGTTACTATATAAATCAAATGGTCATCTCAGGGTGGAAGGTTTTACAAATGCCTACTGGGCTGGTTCTCCTTCAGATAGGAGATCTACTACAGGCTACTGCACATTTGTAGGAGGAAATATTGTTACATGGCGAAGTAAAAAGCAAACGGTGGTAGCTCAATCTAGTGCTGAAACTAAGTATAGGGCAATGGCCCAAACTACTAGTGATCTGACCTGGATACAACATTTTCTAAAAGAACTTGGGTTGACAGTTGAAGCTCCTACTCCATTGTTCTGTGATAATCAAGCAGCGGTTCAACTTGCCTCAAATCCTGTGTTTCATGAGAGGACCAAACATATTGAAGTTGATTGTCACTTCATTCGAGAAAAAATATTACGTGGGAGCATCTCTACTCCATTCGTGAAGTCTGAAGATCAATTAGCTGATATGTTTACCAAAGCATTGTGTCATAACCGGTTAAGAATTATCTGTTCCAAGTTGGGATTATTTGATATATATTCTCTAGCTTGAGGGGGAGTGTTAGAATGTTATGTGTGTGTGTGTGTGTGTGTGTGTGTGTTGGGCCATTATGTAATTACATATAGTTAGTAGGGCCCTTGTGTTATTAAGTTGACTTGCATCCTTTATATAAGCCTATATAGGCTTATTAGGTTAAGAGTGTGAAAGATATGTATACAAGTTCTCTCTCTCTCTCTCTCTCTCATGATTAAGAACAATAATAAATACATAAGAACTCAAAAACAAAAATGAGGAACTAAGGTGTCACCTTGTGCATTGCCATGACATCCAATATGAAAGGAAGACATAAAAGCCTCCAATTGAGCGCATTCATGCTCAGACCTATTTCCAGATGATCCAACCAGGGAGACTACCTCATCAGTTCTGGAGGTGTTTGCATCTGCCAAAACAAGAAGTTTATTTAAGGCGGAGAGAGAGAGAGATTTCCAATTACTGGGGAAACAGAAAATACGCACCATTTGGCTCCAATGACAGGAAACTGCTGGAGAAAGCAAATCCCATATCCTCAACCTTGTTATCATAGGATACAATCGGAAATGACTCAAAAGGAGAATGATCGTTGGAGAGATCAGATACACATTCAATTGAAACTACAGGATTATTCTCTCCTGTTTGTGGGAAATTTGCATGTGAAAATTCTGACAGACTATAAGATTCTTTTGATAAGGAACTGCTGGAAGAAATAAGTCCTGTCTCTTCAATTTTATTCTCACCAGAAACAACTGCAATGGGCAATCCAGAAGATGGGGGAGTGCTTGAAACATCAGAAACAACCTCAAGTTCATCTGAAAAGCTATTATGAACTGTTCCCTCTTTCTTGTCAGATATAAGCACTTCACCATGAACAGTATTTTGAGGTGAAACCTCAAGCAGAAACCCATTTATATATTTTTCTTCAACGGATTCACTAAATAATGAGGGTTCAGACAAATCTTTATTCTCAGGAGAAATAAAGTCCAGGTCATCAGACAGAGATAGTTCCCCCTTTGCAACATTTTCTTCAACACCCATATATAAGTGCCTATCTATCAAAGTCTCATCTTCTTGCCCCAAAGAAAAGTCAGAATCTGCTTCTCGGATGGTATCTGCAGAAGGTAGAGGGAGAACTTGCTTTGAAGGATCAACAGGATCTGGCTCGAAATATGACTTCTTTATATCAATGACATGATCTTCTTCAATACCTATCATTGACCTAATATAGTTCCCAATAGCATCATCTTGTTTTGGAGTCACTGCTTGAGTTTCATGTTTAACAGGATCCACCAAAGGAGGAAGTAATTCTTGCACAACATCAGAACAAAACCTTTTCATACTTTCTCCAACCGTCTGCACCTGATTTTCCACATATTTAACTGTGTCCTGTATGGTGCATATTATATTACAAGAGAAATTTCCAGTTTTGACAACAATCAGGACAAATATCCATCTTATTCACAAAATAGTGACACACGGTATTTGTTTTACTCATCAAAAGATAAATAAATAAATAAAATGTGTGTTTCTCATGGCATGCAAACACAAGAAAGGATAACTTTATGCTTACAAAGACATGACTGTAGAATTCTCATCCCGTGAAAGGTAGCAGGGTGACAGACAGTTAATAGAGAAAACTATCTAATATTAGGAACATATACAAGGAAAAGAAGAGAGATAAAAATAATAATAATAATACCTGGTTCACAAAATCATCAACCTCTAGGCACATAGCCTCAAATTTATGGTATATGCTCCCAACCAAGGCTCTACCTTTAAATTTCAAATCCATAGTGAGAAAAATAATATGCTGCTAAAACGAATTTTCCCACTTCATAAACTAAAAATACAACAAAGGCACTATTTCCAATCGAGGTTGATGATATTAACCTGTAAAAATTCAGATAAAAGTTATGTCACGAAAGGCATGATTGATTCTAAAACATGTTTAATTTACAGATAAAATGCAGAGGCCAAAAGTATAGAAATCGCCTCTAAACGGAAGATACAGCCACCTACTAGAACTTTTGAAACAGCATAACAATGAATTTGTAAAACCTTTTCAACTAACCGAAGCTGAATACCAATCTGTTTCCATGTCCTCAAACCCCTAAGTACTCAACCTAAGCACATTTAGAATTTTACACTATTTTCCCTCCTGAGCCTAATGTATGGAACTTTGGTCATGGTGAACAGAATACAATCACAAGAAAAAAATAAACATATAAATAAAGTAAAGGTAGAGGGAGTTGTATAATGTATTGTGCACATTAATTAGTACTCACCAGACATATACGGGAATACTAAATGAAATACAAAACAGCAAATGGTCAGTGGTACATAAAATACTGATAAAGCCCTTAAGCTCATGACAAATAGTAGATCAAAAAGTTTTTTTTTTCCCTTCAATGAAAAAAACAAAGGCCAAGAAGTGTAAGAATGTTGAGAAGTATGAAAGATGAAGAGACGATAGGGTATGAAGCAACACAAGCTATGTAACGTGGATTCTTCAAAAGTAGGTGGAATATCTGCATTGAGCACACAATACTTGAACATGGGTATGTTACATGTGTCCAACACTTTTGATTGGACAAGCACCTAAAAGCCAGATCCAATAATTCAACTTTATTATATTATTGCTTCAAAACAAGTGAACTGCCTAAATTGAACATTATGTCATATTAAGATATTATTTTACTCTAGAAAATAAAATTAATATATTAGATAATATGAATAACATAAAGACATTCAACTCAAGTGAAATAGTGTTGAATATTATGACGTGATAAGATATTCAGCATTTGAAGAGATGCAAAATTTTGCTTAGCAGTCATTTTGGCGTGAGGGTTTGCAGGAAACATAATCCCTCTACCCATCAGTCCCACCCTAATCGATTCAAAATGGCCACAATACCGGATCCCAGTGGTAAAAATAATTCAATGTATGCAAATGATATTGTGTTGTAAGCAATAGAGCTGTATAGTAAATGCAGGATGAAAACAATTGAAATGAATATAACATATGAAAATGAGTATGGCTCAACAACTGTAAGCGTGGGAAATGGTGGAATTGAGAAAACTACCAAAGTCAGCAGAAAAGCAATTCCAGAAGTGAAACTGGCATGAACAAGGCTCGGATTGAGTAAATGAGCTCAACCAAGGTGTTTATAGAAAGAAACAAAAATAGCTCCTAGAAGGCATCGAAACAACTCAGACAAATCCTAAAAACTAGCCAAATATTTTGATAGAATAGCTCAGAGAAAAAATTTCAATCAGAGATAGAGCCGGTAAAAATTACCAGCATTGATCTAGTCAAATTTAGTTGTGAATTTCAAACAACAAAGCTGGCCAAAGATGGCTGCAATGTACTAATAAAGAAATTGTCAGCTTGCAGTTAACATCTTAGAAAGGAAATCATTTAATCAAGCTAGTTTAAACAAAGGTTTGGATGACCAAAATTTAATTGATAGTGTCTTGAAGCTGGCTAAAGGTAGCCCACTACATAAACTCACACATAAAAGAAATTGACAGCTTTCTGTTAACATCTTCTAAAGGAAATCACTAAATCAAGCTAATTTAAACAAAGGTTTGGATGATCAAGGTTAGTTTATCAGCTCAATGCAAACAATCAATTTTATCCCTGAGGTTCAAAAAGATTCTGGCAATATTCAGCAATGGTGTCAGACAAAAATTTTGTAAATAGAGCCGCATGGACCTGAAAAAGTGCAACTTAGGAAGAACTAACTGATAGTCTAATACAACAATAACAACATAGGAGAGAGATTAAAAGCTCCGTGCTTTTGTAGGCACAGAGCACACAGATAACATATACACAAAACTAAACATATATATATATATATGCGTGTGTATAAACAATATCCCAATTCTTACAACAATTGAAATTTTCTTAATATCACAAAATTCTGTATTTGAATTTGAATTTGAATTTGAATTTCTCCTTTGATCAAGTAGATTCTCTCAAAATTGAAGTTCACGCCATATAGATATAGACATACAAATATAAATATATATTTACAAAAAAAAAAAAAATTACAAATAGATATAGTGATCACCTACTGTCATCATCCACAATTCAAGAAGAAGCTCTCTAATAGCCATAAATTGCAACAACTCAAGAAATTTGTAACAGAAACCCTAAACCTAATGCTCGATAACGTAGGAAAAAGGACCTACCGGCAAAGTGAAGCCGACGGAGAGAGGCTTTGGTCATCACCGGAGCTGACTTAGAGTTTAGCTTCGTCAGTGCCTGGGGGCTCTCTCTCTCTTTATATATACACGCATAAATAGCAGGGTTTTAGAGATTTGTTACCTTGCAGTTGCACAGTAAAAGTATCAGGGTGCGGAGTGGATTCAGTATAAGTAGGGTGGACTTGGGATTTTTTAATTCACACGTTGGACTTGGATGGTTGAATTAGATCACACTTCAATTATTAACTCACTGAAAAACCTATAATAAAGCTCTTATCGTTATAAAATTTAATTTAAAAAAAAAAATATATATATATATATATATATATATTTATTATTGTGTTATTTATTTTCAACTATCAATGATCCTAATTATTTTACTTTGACACATAAATTAATTTAATAAGCTTGAATACCATTTTTCTTAATTTTATATTTATATTGAATGCATTAATATTATATTTTTTAAAAATATTTTGTGCAGAAAAATTCAAAAAGATATGTTTTATGTAATGCTATTATTAAATTATTTTAAATAAACCAATTTTATGTGCAAGGATTCAAATCATTCAATTGAAACTTTGTGTATAAAATTTCACAAAATCTCATGGCTTTTTTGTATTCAAATCATCCTATATATAAGAGTACAATTTGAACTTGACCTTGAACCTCAATTATCCAATCTGAAAATTTTGAACTTCAACTTCAAGAACTCCAATTTGATCTTGGATCCTGTTTGCATACCAATAACTAAATAAAAGCGCCATTCCTAACTCTGCACAGGTACCAACTTAAGTTATACAATTATTTTCAATGGGTGTTGTTTTCAAGCTACGAACACTTTTTGGCTCTTACTCTGACTTAGATTTTATCGCTCTCACGCTTCCGCTTTCACCATAGCTAGTGCTCTAAATGACTTGGGTACCAACAAATTAATATTCGCAGCCAAACCAGCAAATACCTCACTCTCACATAAAAAAAATGCTTCAAAGTGTCAACTATAGTTGTGTTGCGATGAAGGCACACCCCTTAATACCCCATTAGATATACTCTAATTGAAAGTCTGTGTACAGTGATGAGGACACGAGCTCACTGTCAGAATGCACTCATCACGATGTTTTTGTTCAGTGTCTATCATGAAATTGACTCATTGTTGTCGTGATCTCTATTTTGATCTCCCATTTTGACTACAAAAAACATAATATGCATTAACCCCTGTAATTTTATTCTAAAGATAAGATAAAAGTTTGATCAGTACTTGTAATTTTATTCTAAATCAACTCTAATATGAATTCTGATCGTTATCCTCTATCAAATCATCAGATGTACCAGTTGATGAACTAAGTCAGGACAACAATTCTTGGTAAAGCACAGTAAAGATCGATGCTGCAAAACTCTTAACCTAGAAAAAAGATGATCCATTCATTCAAGGAAGAAACACTTCAACCAATTGTTAGGCTAACAAGAGTACCAACAATTTAATGATATTTGTGATCTTTCCCGATCCAGTATAGTACTATTGAACTTATTATCAAACTAACAAACAACTACGACCTGTCAAAAACAACAACAATATGATGAAATTCGAAATTCGAAATTAGATCCCAGAAGGAGCATTCCAGAGCTCCTCAGTGCAAAAGAAGACAAGTGTTCAACGACACACTGGTAGTTCTTAACCAAGTTGCTAATAATCACAAGCAGGGTGATGATGTACAAATAAAGAGCCAACAACCTACTGAACTAAAACCAAACCAATATCGCACTAACAATCCAGAAAACTTGAAATCAGATCCCATACTGAACTAAAACCAAACCAATATCGCACTAACAAACAACTACAGAAAACTTGAAATCAGATCCCAGAGGGAGCTCTCCAGATCTCCTCATGCAAAAGAGGACCAAGTGTTCAAGAACACACTGGTACGTAGTTCTTAACCAGGTTGCTCGTACAACTATTCTTCTATTACATCAAAATACTGACAATTATAATAACAAACAGGGTGATGATGTACAAAGCAAAGAGCAACAATATAGTTGTTTGAACTGACATGCAAACCAAAATCCATTATAAAAAACTCCACGTACTAAGTGATTGAGGCCTACTAAATTAATTCAAGAACATGGAAAAAAGAAAAGCATGCATAACCAATTGACATGTACAATCAACCAAGAGTGTTAAAACTGATAATGGACTAAATGATACTGCAGATTGAAAACAGTTAAAAAAAAAAAAAAAACACCCAATAGAACCTTATTAGAAATCATAAGCTAACCATCTGTTCATCCAACCAGATAAAGCATCAATATTGATCGAATCAGAACGAAATTCATAGACTTTCTTATGAACTTCAAAATGTAAGGAATATCTATAGCATAAACCCTATAACTTAAAAATAAAAATAATAATAAATAAATACAACCCTCATCCTTGCTTATCTACAGCGTGCGTATTGATGGTTTGGTGTGGTGGGGGAACATCACTTTCTGGCATATCTTGAGCCTGGTAAGTCTTTCCACCAGCCTGGTATTCCCTATATGCCCCTGGACCAGGCATTTCCTTGTTTTGGTAAGACATGCCTCCACTGTTATGTCCATTCGAGTATTGGAAATCTGTAGCATTATTGGGCACCCCTCCCATGTTGTTTGGCTGCACACCTCCCATGTTGTTGGGCATCACTCCTCTCCAGTTGGGTGCTCTTACCATATTACTTGCCTGCATTCTGCCCAGATTGTAAGGCATGCCTCCGCCATTATACCCGTTCCAATATTGAAAATTTGGTGTGTTATTGGGCATCCCTCCCATGTTGTATGACTGATTTCCCTGCATATTGTTGGGTTGCAGTCCTCCCCAGCTGGGTGCTCCTTCCATATTATTTGCTTGCATTCCACTCATATTGTTAGGCATGCCTCCACCATTGTATCCATTCTGATACTGGAAATTTGGTGCATTATTGTGCACCCCTCCTAAGTTGTATGACTGCTCCCACATTTTGGGCTGCACTCCTCCCCAGCTGGGTGCCCCTACCATATTATTCGCTTGCATTCCTCCCAGATAATAAGGGTTGCCTCCACTATTTTGCCAGTTCCAGCATTGGAAATTTGGTGAGTTATTGGGTACCCCTCCCATGTTGTTTGGTGGCACACCTCCCATGTGGTTTGGTGGCATTCCCCCCATGTTGTTGGGCTGCACTCCTTCCCAGTTTGGTGCCCCTACCATATTATCTGCATGCATGCCTCCGCTATAATGTCCATTCCAGTATTGGGAATATGGTGTGTTATTGGGCACACCTCCCATGTTGTTTGGTGGCATTGGTCCTATGTTATTTGGTGGCATTGGTCCCATGTTGGATGGGGGCATTCCTCCCCAGTTGGGAGGTGGCATTCCTCCCATATTATTTGACTGTATTCCTCCCATGTTGGGTGCCTCTTCTGTGCTATTTGCTTGTATTTCAACCATGTTGTTGGGCTGCACTCCTCCACAATTTGGTGCCCCTACCATATTATTTGCCTGCATGCCTCCACTATAATATCCATTCCAATATTGGGAATATGGTGTGTTATTGGACACACCTCCCATGTTATTTGGTGGCATTGTTCCCATGTTATTTGGTGGCATTGGTCCCATGTTGGATGGTGGCATTCCTCCCCAGTTGGGAGGTGACATTACTCCCATATTATCTGACTGTATTCCTCCCATGTTGGGTGCCTCTTCAATGCTATTTGCTTGCATTTCAACCATGTTGGACAAACTTCCCGTTTCACTGGATGGCATTTCCATATCAAGTGCACGTTCTGCATGAGAGGGTGGCACTTTTACCATATTGGATCCAGGGTTCTGCATACTCGGATTAGCAATAGGAGTTTGAGAATCTTGTTTCTGCATATTTTGTATATTTTCATAATGCCTTGATATGGGTGCTCCTCCCATAATATCTGACTGTATTCCTCCCACTTTGGGTGCCTCTTCCATGCTTGTTGTTTGCATTCCTCCATTGTTGGACCAACTTCCCGTTTCACTGGATGGCATTTCCATATCAAGTGCATGTTCATGAGAGGGTGGCACTTCTGCCATTTTAGGTCCAAGGTTCTGCGTACTCGGATTAGCCATAGGAGTTTGAGAATCTTGCTTCTGCACATTTTGTTTATTTTCGGAGTTCCTTGATATGGGTGCTCCTCCAAAATTATCTGATTGTATTCCTCCCACGTTGGGTGCCCCCGTCATACTGGATGCCATTTTCATATCAAGTTCACATTCTGCATGAGAGGGTGGCACTTCTGGCATATTGGGTCCAGGGTTCTGCGTACTCAAATTAGCCATAGGAGTTTGAGAAACTTGTTTCTGCACAGTTTGTTTTTTTTCGGAGGACCTTGATTTGTCAGACTTGCGAGTTCTGGTGGGTGACTGACAATTTTGTTTCAACCACTGTTCGTGGTACCTGGGGTCGTATGGTACGGCCTGCCCATGAATAAAAGGTTCCCCTGGCAATGCAAATCAAATCAGAAGATTATAAACAAATAATGCAAGCATCAACACTGGTAAAACCTAATTCTAGTCAAGAAAACAAACGTGCTGACTAGCAAGTCCACAAGGTATGTGGTACCAAATTATAGAGGGGAAAAAACAGATGGAAACTAAAAGTATCTGTTATGAACAGTTCAATCACACGTGACAATAAATATATAGCTTTCTTTTGGCTATATGAAAAAACCATGAAAGAACACAGTAAGGCACAACCATTATAGATATTGTAATGGTACTTTTATTTCCTCTTTTCAAATATATTATCTTTGCAAGCATTCCTATTGTATATCACAAAAGATTCATCTGTGTTTCTCTTGTTTCCAAAATAACAACTCCTTGCAGTTTCTTAAATAGCAAGTAGTTAGAAATGTAGGGTATATTGATTTCAATTCTCCAAAGACCTTTTCTCTCCGTTACTATGAGGGAAAAGAGAGGGAAGAAGTATTAACTTATTCCCATGTTTGGATAAATAAGGAAGAAAAAGAAAGTGAAGGGCAGTGAAGAGAAAGAAAAGAAAATGATTTACTTTATTTTGTGAATAATAAGGAAAAGACATGAATTCCCTTGTTCTAAAAAGGGACAAAACGGATAATTACTAACTCTCTTATCATTTTTCCGTCT